TTAGAAGACATCTGAAGAATTTATGCTTTTGAATTATGGTGCTGGAGGAGACTCTTGAGAGTCCCATGGACTGCAAGAAGATCAAACCTCTCCATTCTGAAGGAAATCAGCCCTGAGTGCTCACTGGAAGGACAGATCCTGAAGCTGAGGCTCCAAGACTTTGGCCACCTCGTGAGAAGAGAAGACTCCCTGGAAAAGACCCTGTTGTTGGGAAAGATGGAGGGCACAAGGAGAAGGGGACAACAGAGGACGAGATGGTTGGATAGTGTTCTTGAAGCTACCAGCATGAGGTTATTGTATTTTAGTGTTTTGTTGGAAGCCGCCCTGAGTGTCTGGGGAAACCCAGCCAGATGGGCGGGGTATAAATAATATATTATTATTATTATTATTATTATTATTATTATTATTATTTTCGCAACATGCCAGTTACCGAAAAGTGAAGGAATAAAAGAGTATCATGGTGGCATTATGGGTTTGTTAGAGCAGAACTGAGGAACCCCACGGCTTCTCCTGGGGACGATCTATTCAGGGAGGCCTGGCTCTCTGCTCTCAGAGAAGTTGATCTGCCTACCTGGCCCTCCTCCCCAGCTGCTGGCCCTCCTGCTCTTGAGGAAGCTAGTCTTTCCCCTCCTTTGGTCATCAGAGAGAAGCCTGCCCTGCCCACCCCATGAGGACTGGCAGCTTGAGAGCCCACCTGGCCTCAATCCACCAGAGGGGGGGGCTAGATTAAATCCTGGGCCAACACGGGTGACAGAGCCCCCAGAAGACACAGAACCGAAGGAGTTGCTCCCTTTGGGAAGATCTGCTTTGGGGGAGAGCAAGGGCAAGGAGCACCTCCTCACCATCTTCTATGGGGATGGGCTTGCCCTAATGGTTTTAACTGGTTTTTAACTGGGTTTGTTTAAAAAAAATGTGTGTGTGTGGTTTGTTGGTTTTGGGAGGAGGGAAAGCGAAAGTGATCTGCCATGGGCCATTTCTGAGAATTCAGATGGTTAGAAAGAACACCCTGCCTAGGTCCAGAAGTCAACAGATAGGGAGGGTGTGTTGTTTTTCTTGCTGGCCATTTCCTTCTTTCGTTTGAGTGACCTTTCAACTCAAAACAGGATACTAACAGGATCTCTGCTCTTAGCAAAACAGCTCAGGAAAGATTTCCATGTTTTATGTTTCATTAATGCTGCATATGAACGTATGAAGAGCCCTCTGGGATCAGGCCAGGTGCCCTCAAGTTACAGACTCATAGAACTGAAGAGTTGGAAGGGACCCCCAGGATCATCCAGTCCAACCCCCCGCAATGCAGTTGTCCCACACGGGGATTGAACCTGCAACCTTGGCGTTATCAGCACCACGCTCTAACCAACAGAGCTCTCCAGTCCAGCCTCCTGTTCTCACAGTGGCCAGCCAGATGCCCCCAAGGGAAGTCTGTAAGCAGGAGCTGAGCTCAAGAACAACTCTCCCCTTCTGAATTTTCCAGCAACTGCAATTCAGAGGCATCGCTGCCTCCGACTGTGGCTAACTCCAGCTGTGCACAAACATTATTTCACATGCATAGAACTGGAGTGAAACATATGTGCTGTGAAGGCAACAAGTGTGTGTTTGTGAACGTATCTGGCACACAGGTATATTCACCAGGGTGGCATTGATGATGATGATGAAATACTTAATATAAATAGGAACAAAAATCCAGTAAAGGTTCAGTAAACCCATTCTGCTGATCAGACCTGGTGTGGTCTGGCATCTGGAAAGTAACAGCATTCTGGTTGCAACTGGCTTTCTTCTGTTGTGAGGAGACAGTCAATCAGTTCCTTCCTCAGCAGACCGCAAGCTTCACATGGGCCCACAGTCTGATGCAGCAGCAAAAAAGGCTAAGGCTATTCCAGGCTGCCTCCACTGAAGTCTAGTGTCCCAATCAAGGGCAGTAATGCGTCTATGGCACATGGTCTGACTCTGTATAAGGCTGCCTCCTATGCCTCTGAATACCCCAAGTGTGGGGAAAGCCACTGAGCTTACGTCTTGCTTGTGAGTTTCCTGTCATGGCATCTGGTTTGCAGAGCCATCAGGCTGCTGGACAATGATAGACCCCTTTTGCCTGACCCATCAGCTGGACTCTTTTGACGCTATTGTGTTCTCCTTTTATGGATGTGCAACTGGATGAATCAACTGAGAAGAAAACACTTTCGCTTTCCATAGGTCCAACATTCAGCTATTAATGTGCACTCAAAACCTGCGTCATATTCAGACCTCTCAGAGGAATGAAGAAAGCCAGAGGCTGCCAGAATTTGCAGAGGGAAACAGCAACTTTCTCCAGGCTGAGAAAACTGCCCAGCAGAAGTCAAGGTAGTGAAAACACCCCTCTTTTCGGGTGTATTTAAGCTGAGGTGGGGATCCCTCCTGCAGGAGGAAATGGAGGGTGGGGGATTGGGGGGTGGGAAAATATTTTGCAAATGCTACAATGCACCTTCTGCACTTGGTTTTGTAGGGGCAGTTCGTGGTTGGAGGCAAGTCTGCCCTTCTGGGTGATGCTCTAAAAGGGAGGGGAAAGGGGGCACAATCCATGCCAAGGATTCACCCATTTCTGTTTTTATATAATTTTTATTAAATTTTCTATTTTACAATTTAAAATACTCATTTTACATCCTTAAAATATCAGTGACTTCCTTCTTTTCTTTCCAAGGTTCCTTTTGCATATCATAAATTCCTTCATATTTTACAAAAACTATACCAATCAGTATTCCATTATTAAATCCATCAAAACTTATTTACACTGTTGAATTTATCTTAATGCTGCCAGCGTTTTCAACTGTACACAATTATTTCCCATATATTCAACAAACATTATCCTGTCTTCTCAAAACGTATATTTTTCTTGTTCTCTTATTCTATATGTTAAGTCTGCAAGCTGTGCATATTCTGTCAACTTAAGTTGCCATTCTTCTTTGGTTGGGACCTCACTCGTTTTCCATTTTGGGCCTAAAAAAACATGGGCCGCGGTGGTGGCATATATAAATAACCTTTTTTGACACCTGGGAATTTCAGTGTGAATTATCCCCAACAGAAAGTGTAGCCTTATGAGGCTTTGCCCTCGGGTGGGAAAAATATTGCGCCCGGGAAAGGGAAAATGGGAGTCAACAGACACTCAAGGAATAGTTTCGGAGAAAAGGCTTTTATTTCTACCATCCATGAACTGGTAGAAGGAGCAAGTGTGATAGTTCACAAAAAGCATGCACGAAGTTCACAGTCATGTGCACAAGCATATATACCCCTTTCCAGTTCCCTCCCCCTTTCTCCTCCTTTTCCCAGGAGTCCTGCCCCATGAGTTCCTCTGAGCATGAACAGAAAGCTGTCTTGGGACTATTGTGGACTCTTGGCACCCTTCCCAGGAAAGGGGGGGGTGAGAAGCCAAGGGGTTTTCAGCATGTTCAGATATGTTTCAATCTCTTGTTCTGGCATGGTTCCCGGACAGAAAGCAAGTTGCAATGCGGTTCTTTAGCAAGGCCAGAAGACATGAGAAAGGCCTGAGAAACAATGGACTGTTCTCTACCTTTGTTACAGCAGAGCGGAATGTTTCTGATGCTTAGCTGCTGAGAAAATGATTTTGAAAAGCTTTGAGAAGCTTTGAGCCTGCTTTGGTTGGGGGTGACTGTAGCCTTTTTAATCCATGGGTAGGAATAATTGTTGCACCCGAGCAGAGACAAAAGGAGCCAAACGACACCAAGGGGTTAATCCAGAGAAAGAGTGTTTTATTCTGCCATGGGGGGGGGCAGAGGCACCTGTGTGATTCAGTTCACAAAAGACAGGCTGCGCCGAAAACATTTTACAAGCAGGTTTTATCCTTTTTTCAAACCCCTTTTTTCCTCTCCCCCATTCACAGATTCTTACATAGAAATGTTGCTTTTCGTTCTCTGGCTCTGTTCCTGGAAGTATGTTGCAAATCAATGTACCAGGACAAGGTTATCTTGGATATGGGAAGCGAAAAGCTTCACTGTTCTCAGCTCTGGGTTTGTTACAGCGTTTTTGTTACAGAGAGGACTGCTTAGCTCATGCTTTTTGTCTTAGAGGAAAATGCAGTTTTTAAAATGCGTACTCCGAGGCCTGGCTGGGGGGGGGGGGAATTCACAAACAGTTTTTAGGGCTTTCTGGGGTAACCCTAACTGTACCCCTTCATTCCATACCTCTCAAATTTGGACAGCCTTTTTCTTAAAAAGGCTCGTCCCAGGAAGGCACAGGCTGATATTCTCGGGTCAGAGCTATAATCTGGGGGCGAAGCACGCGAGAAATCATATTGCGTGTCATTGTATGCAAGCATTGCAGCAAGCAAGGTACAGAAAAGCAAAAAATTAGCAAAATGAAAAGTGGGCCAAGCAGCAGCAAAAACAGGCCTTTTACCCATCCTAGGTTTGGCAACCAGTCAAGCCATGACATGTCCCATCCCTCCCAGGTTTGGGTAGGAATATGGGCCACTGTTTCAAGTCCTGCTGCCAAATTGCGAATGGCCTCACCATGATCAGAGATGTTAAAGCAACAGGCCCCACCCGTGAGATTTAACGCTGCACAAAAACCGCCATGTTGCGCCAGGAGAAAGCCCAACGCTAATGGGACTGAGAGAAACGCATTGCGTGTCTCATCCAATTGCGTGGCAATTAGCCTAAGGGCCGTGGCTGTCGTGTTAGCAACAATCTCTACCACCGCCTGGAGTCTGATTATGCGGTTCAAGTTATAGATTGGCCCCCTTGCCCCAGAGATTTTCTCTCCCCGATTCCAGGAGGCTGGAGCATAATGGGCCAGGATCCTTTCCGGAGGCCACTGATTTTTGCCCCAATTCTGGGAGCTGCCACCTGCAAGTGTTGCCAGGTCAGCCGAACGCCTCCTTCTAGGGGGTGCAGAGGGTATCTGGTCAGGAATCCACATGGGGGGTATTAAGTAGGCTGGAAAACAGACCCCATACCATCCTCTTGGGAGGGCATGATAGGCCTTCCTGCCACACACCCAGTAAACGTCCTGACCATGGGCAGATATGGTCAGCAAGCGGGCCAGGCATGCAGTCAATTTGGAACCAGAAAAAGTTCCTGTCTCGGACTCAGGCATGTTAGTTGGGGCTGGGAAGGTACGATCGCAGTGGGAAGTGCCCACATAGGTCTGAGCGTCACTGGCGTCATTTGCTTTGTTGACACAAAGGCAGCCAGTGATCCTGTGAACCTGGAAAGGGACGGAATGATTCCATAAAGAAGAATGGTTGCCCAGAGGCTGGAAGACAACAAGTGGAGTCGTAACCAAGGATTCATTCCAAGGCACAGGGAGTAGTGACATTCCTCCCAGAGCATCTACAGGGGCCAGAGTGCAGGCGGCACAATTGGTCTGATTTGCAGAGAACGCAACCATCTCAGCAACCTGAATCCACTTATTATATGTGTGGTAGGCCCCCCACGATTGCAGCAGTTGTCTGGTCACTGTGAGTGGTATCGGCATTTCAAAGGTCAAATGCAGCAGAAATACCAGCACGGGGACCCACAGTCGCATTTGAGCCATTGTATGCACGGGGAGGGGCTTAGGTAAGTACTAGAGAGTGGGCTGGGCTGTAATTACACTGAAAGAAAAGACCCACTAGACACCCTCCTCTGCAGGGGTGGCGTAAAGCAAACCAGGCCCAGGTACCTTCAATAAAGTTCAGTTATGCAAAAGGAAAGGAAAGGAAATGTCCCCTTTCAATCCACGCTGGATTCTTGAGCCGTGCAAAACGCCAGCATCCAGGAGTGACGTTTAGCAGGGCTGTAGTCTGGAGGGCGTCGGGTCGTCTGGTGGGCGTTGGGCATCTTGGGTCCCTTCCAGCAGGGCTGGAGTGATGTCTGGGCGTCTGGGTCCTCTTCACCTGGTTCATAGGGATGCAGAGGTATCCTGGCAAAAGTCCACTTGTTAAGAGAAGAGATAACAGAGACGGCAGCGATTGCACAGAACAAATTGATAGATAACATTTGCACATAAGGCATATTAACTCAAAGGGGATGCTTGGCAGGAAACTTCGCAAGGGGTTAACAGTTCTGTTCCTTGGGTTAAGTTTGCCAGCCGAGATTTTTAAAAGTCTTCCTGTGCTCTATTTTTTTTCAGAGCTTTTGCGGCCTGCAAAGCCATGTTACAAATTGCAGTTCATGTGCCAAAGACTGCCAGTGTTCGTAAGGATGTGTTCCTTGCTTCTGGCAAAGTATCAAATACCTCAAAGTATCAATTCCTGAACTTTCTTTATGTATGCTACAACAGCAGCAAGAATACTCATCGCAAGGTATTGGAAGACACAAGAGCTTCCCACACTGGAGGAATGGCAGATGAAAATGATGGACTACATGGAATTGGCGGAAATGACTGGCAGAATCCGTGACCAGGGAGAAGAGTCGGTGGAAGAAGATTGGAAGAAATTTAAGGATTATTTACAGAAACATTGCAAAATTAATGAATGTTAGAGTGATGTTGGATTGAAGTTAAGTGGCTTCTAGCTGTACAGGCTTTAAAGCTATAAATATATCAAGATTAAGGATTAGGATCAAAAAGGTTAAGAGAAATGGAAAAATTGGTTTTAAATAGGTAAAAATCTAATGTCATAATATATTAAGATTTAGGATTGGAATTAAAAGGAGGGAAAGAAATTGCTGGGCTTACAAACTGAATTGGAATACAAAAGAGGGAGGTATGAGGAAGTCCGGGAAACAAGTAAATGTAAAAGAAGTTATGAAAAGACGGAACTATTTTTAACTGTTTTTTTTTCTTTTTTTACTTTTTTGTATTTTGTATTTTGTATTTTGTATGGTGTATTTTTCTCTGTTTTTGTTAAAAATTTTCTTGTTTATTAATGTGATTTTATTCTTTCTGAAACTTTAATAAATATTAATTTAAAAAAAAACAAAGTATCAATTCCTATGGTATGCTGCGGCTCCTTTTTCAGAGTAGAATTGCACCTAAAAAAGAAAATTCTTTGACAAAATTCACAGAAAGCATTCACTTGCTTTTTTTAAGAAGGTCACTTTTCCGGGTTAGCACTTGGGGCCGGGGTGGGTAACCTTTGGCATTCTGGGTTTTTTCGCTTGATTGTAAATCCTAATTGGCTTCAGGCAGTAGCAGGTCAGAGTAGCTGGCTGAATGCAGCAGTGACCTTCTGAGATAGCTGCCAAGAGATAAGCTACTCCAAGCACCTGGCACAAGGAAAAAAAAAAAAAGCTGATGTCCTGTTACTTGCATGAATGAATGTTAGAAACAGTTAGTTCACTCGCTTCTAGTTGCAACAGTCTTTTAGCCAGAACAGAGATGAGAAGAAATCATTTTTGAGAAATCTTATTGTTCCCAGCCTGTGGGGGTGGGGTGTGTCGGGCGTGGGGCCTGTGGGCATTCCATTTTCCAGTGACCCTCTTGCCTGCAGATGGCGCACTGGCTTCTTCCCTAGGCGTCTTCTGCCCCTCCCGTGGACACCCTCACTCGCTCCAGGATTGCGTTTTTGGCTTTCTGGCTGCTGGCTGTTTGAAGACAAACCCCTAATTATTTTGGCTGGGTCCTCTTCGAAAGAAGGATTCTGATTTAGGGTGCTTGGAGGTCTGTGGTCCTGTACATTGGATGAAAGCTGTCTTGTGGACTCTTGGCAGGAAAGGGGGTAAGGGGGTGAGGGGGTTTCAGTTGTTTCATTCTTGTGCTTTGGCATGGTTCCCGGACAGAAAGCAAGTTGCAATGCGGTTCTTTAGCAAGGCCAGAAGACATGAGAAAGGCCTGAGAAACAATGGACTGTTCTCTACCTTTGTTACAGCAGAGCGGAATGTTTCTGATGCTTAGCTGCTGAGAAAATGATTTTGAAAAGTTTTGAGAAGCTTTGAGCCTGCTTGGGGGGGGGGTGACTTCGGGCCTAGACTTCGGGTCACCTGTCCTCACCTTCCTTCAGTAAAGCCCAGGGGAAGGGAACCCCCCCCATGGGGCTTTTTCTGATCAGAAAGCACAGGGAGCAGGCAGGATGCAAGGCGCTGGGGATCTTATTTATTTATTTTTACTTGGAAGAAAAAAAATCACATGCACCACACACCTACTGAAATTCTAAATAAATTCTGAAGTGTCAGGAGGATAAGACAGAAAAACCGAAGCCTCTTTCACAGAAGGAGAAAACTGTTGAGAAATGGAAGGATAGAATTAAGCACAGCATAAATTTAGGCTAGTGGGAATAGTGACTGAAATATACTCGGAGTCCAGTGTGGATTTCATGCTCTTTATTCAGCTCATAGTAGTGAGGAATGGACGTTCCCCTGAAATGTCTGCTTTATATACATTATTTACACAATGGGCCCCACGTGATTGGCTAGTTCCGGGATTCACCTGTAGGCCAATCAGGTTGCGGATTCACTTCCAGCTGGAGTTGGATTGGGTGGCTCCTGCGGACCAATCAGACTGCTGCATTCTGGATCCTATTGTTCTAGGACCAATCAGACTGCTGCAATTTCGATCCTATTCAACTCAGTACATAATAGCAACACAACCCCGGGGTCATTAATTGTCATTAAACCTTCAAGTAAAAGTTTTGGCACAATTCACTCAATTTCAATTTCTCTTAGGGTTGTCATAATTCAAACAGTGAAAATCTGCTGCCATGAGTCAACAGTGTAATGCAGCAATTAAAAAACAACAGCAAAAAGTTAATGCAATCCTAGGCTGCATCCACAGAAGTCTAGTGTCCCGATTTAGGGAAGTCAAGTACCACTCTATTCTGCCCTGGTCAGACCCCACCTGGAGTACTCTTTCAGGTTCAGGGCATCTTTTAAGAACGATGCTAACAGGCCAGAAGTGTGCTGGGGGAGGAAGAGGGGGGGAGCACACCACCCCCGGCAGCACGATCCCAGTGGGGTTCCATCGCGGCTGCCCCCCCCCCACTGTGCTCCCCGCCCCCACCTGCGCTCCGCCACTGCTGGGGCAGGAGACCAAGATGATGAAGGGTCAGGAAACCAAGCTTTTGGGGGGAGTGGTTGAGGGAGTTGGGTATGGTTAGCCTGGAGAAGAGAAGATTGAGACATGATATTAGCGCCATCTTGAAATACCTGAAGGGCTGACACAGGGAAAATGGAACAGGCTTTTTGCTGCTGGTCCAGGGGGCAGGACCTGAACCAGTGGATTCAAATGTCAAGAAATGACTTTCCAGCTGATGGTAGAAGCTGTTCTACTGTGGAACAGACTCCCACAAGGGGTGGTGGAGGTTTTCAAGCAGAGGTTGGATGGCCATCAGGGATTCTTCAGCTGTGATTGCAGCGGGTTGGACTAGATGACCTTTGGGTGTGCCTTCCAACTCTACAATTCTGTGTTCCTCTACAAAAGATTTTCTACAAGTAATTTGACTCCCATTGTGCCATGAACTTCTTGGTGCAGCACAAGTAGTAATATAAGAGAGCAGCAACTTCCATTTCAGCTTACATTCATCACGATCAGCGCTGCTTCCACTGCAGTTTGTTTCTGCCAAATACTACTTTGTGTATCTCGCTGTTAGCTATGGCAGCATCATTCATGATTTCTGCCATAAATGTTGTCGTTATGTGATTTGGCTGGCTGCATGTATGAGTTCCCCACTTTGATAGCCTCCTTGAATACTGCGCCAGATAGTTGGGATATAAAACTGGTGGTGGTAGTGGTAAAATATTTCTCTACTATCCAAAATGTTCTCAACAGGCAATTTCTCGGCCAAATGGAAATTCAGTGTAGGAAGCACCCAGTGTTTGTGCATGGAAAATATTGCTCTTCCCTTCCAGCTCCTGTGACCCCTTGTGCCCGCCCAAACCCTTTCCAGAGGGCCTGGATAGTGTAGTGTCTGCCATACAGGGCTGCAGTGGGATTCCCCTGACTTTGGGCCTAGGAATCCTGTCCAAGCAGACCCCCATTGGCACATGATCCCTTTCCAAGTTTCAGGGTGATTTCCTCTCCCACTGCAATTCTGCGTGACACAGTCCCCTTTGTTCAGGGTGCAGGGATCACTGGATAGAGTTTTCAGCTGCTACAGGGGACTGTGGATGGGAGGGAAGCAAGAAGAAGATCAGTTGCACAAGCTACCTCCCACATGTGCAACTACTGCATACAAACGTCTAATTCCCGCTCCCCCCCCCCCCATGATGTGATATTCCCTCCTCTCCCCCCCCCCCTTTTTTTTGACTGTATGTTAGCATCACTCTTTGGATGGTAGTGCCAATATTTCTCTTTTCCCCACACGCTTTGCATGCCCAATAATCTTTCCAGAGTCCTTCACATCGCTTCTTTCTTGCAGGGAGGTGAAGGCAGGAGAGCAACCTGGACCAGAGCCATGGACAGATCAGATGACACGGTTGAAATACCAGCCCTGGGCCGCCCATTCCAGCTGGGGATGCTGTACGACTGTCGTAAAGATGCCCTCATCCCAGGTAAACCTGGTGCAAGGAAGAGTGTATACAGTGGTACCTCGGGTTAAGAACTTAATTTGTTCTGGAGGTCCATTCTTAACCTGAAACTGTTCTTAACCTGAAGCACCACTTTAGCTAATGGGGTCTCCTGCTGCTGCTGCTCTGCAGCTGTGGAATTTCTGTTCTCATCCTGAAGCAAAGTTCTTAACCCGAGGTACTATTTCTGGGTTAGCGGAGTCTGTAACCTGAAGCGCCTGTAACCTGAAGCTTCTGTAACCCGAGGTACCACTGTACTGAAAAGCAAAAATTACTCATATCAAGATTAGCAGTCGGCCCAAACAGTGCAGTTTCAGTGCTAAATGTGCTCCTCAAATTCATTTTCAACATCCCTTACTGTCTGCTTCCACATCTTTTGCCAAAGTTTGTGTTCCTTTATGTTCTCTTCATTTGGACAAGACTTTCATTTATTAAAAAGAAGTCTTCTTGCCCGTGATAGCGTCTTTGCTCCTTAACCTTGCTGGCATCGTCTTGGCCCAAATCATCATCATCATCTGCCAATAAAGATTCAGCAGGTGTGTTCTGTTTCAATTTTTTAAAGCTTCCTGAAAACCTTTCTAGTCCACCAGGCCTATGCAGGCCATTAATAATACATCTTTCCACAATTATTTGTTGTTGTTTAGTCGTTTAGTCGTGTCCGACTCTTCGTGACCCCCTGGACCAGAGCATGCCGGGCCCTCCTGTCTTCCACTGCCTCCCGCAGTTTGGTGAGACTCATGTTTGTAGCTTCGAGAACACTGTCCCACCATCTCGTCCTCTGTCGTCCCCTTCTCCTTGTGCCCTCCATCTTTCCCAACATCAGGGTCTTTTCCAGGGAGTCTTCTCTTCTCATGAGGTGGCCAAAGTCTTGAAGCCTCAGCTTCAGGATCTGTCCTTCCAGTGAGCACTCAGGGCTGATTTCCTTCAGAATGGAGAGGTTTGATCTTCTTGCAGTCCATGGGACTCTCAAGAGTCTCCTCCAGCACCAAAATTCAAAAGCATCAATTCTTCGGCGATCATCCTTCTTGATAGTCCAGCTCTCACTTCCATACATCACTACTGGGAAAACCATGGGTGAGAGACACTGTAGTCTTCAGCCTTCTTTATGGTCCACCTCTCATTTCTCTGCTTTTTAAGATGCTGTCTAGGTTTGCCATCGCCTTTCTCCCAAGAAGCAGGCGTCTTTTAATTTCATGACTGCTGTCACCATCTGCAGTGATCATGAGCCCAAGAAAGTAAAATCTCTCACTGCCTCCATTTCTTCCGCTTCTATTTGCCAGGAGGTGATGGGACCAGTGGCCATGATCTTCGTTTTTTTAGGTCTGACAGCCAAATTTCCACACTTTGCTTTGCTGCATATTTTGTGATTTTAAATCTGCTGGAGTTCTCTCACCAAAGTGTTTTGGATCTTGGCCCCCAGGGAATTCTCATTTTTCCCCGTGCCAGTCAACAACTAGCACCAACTCTCTATGGCCTCAAGCAGGAGATGTTCACAGCCCTAAATGGTGGTGATTGAAGCTTATCCCTGCTGCTGAGCCAGTGCCCATCCCCTTTCTGAGGCCTGTGCAACAGAAGCTCATGAAATGTTCACATTTGTTCCACTCTCATATCTGGTCAAATATTTTCCCTGCCTTTTGCCAAGTTTTACAAAACTGCACAAACCTCTTTCGTTGGGGATAACAGTGGGACAAAATTCATGAGTGCAGACATTGTGGGCAATGATAGCTCTATTTTATCTCCTTGTTTCTCTGTACACCCTTAGCATTAGGCTAAATGTGTTCTACATTTCTGTGAACATACTCAAGCCTTGCATATTTCTCTGCTTTATCCCAGGAATCACCTTTTGGGACCAGGACTCGCTTCAGAAGGACTTGTGTATCCAACCAAAACCAAAGACTGAATATGAAATCATTGCATCTGACTCCATCGATGATAAGGCATCTGCCCTCAATGTCCCTGCATCACTCAAGGCCAGTTTTTTGGGTGGAACAGTTGAAGTGGATGGATCAGGCAAATTCCTTCAAGACACAAAGCAGTCCATGAAACAGGCCAGAGTCACTCTACAGTACAAAGCTACCACCAAGTATTCACAGCTGACCATGAGCCATTTGGGAATCCAAAACGTCACTTATCCAGCTGTTTTTGAGCATGGCACAGCCACCCATGTTGTCACTGCCATCTTGTATGGAGCCCAGGCTTTCTTTGTGTTCGACCGAAATATCTCTTCTTCCGAATCTGTGCAAGATATACAAGGAAGCCTCCATGCTGTGATCAACTGGATTAAAGTCTCTGTCAAAGGGGAAGCATCTGTTGAGATGAAGAAGATGGGGAAAGCCCAAACGGAGAATTTCAGCTGCAAGTTCTATGGGGATTTTTCTTTGGAAAGTAATCCGGTGACTTTTCAAGATGCCATGAAAGTCTACAGCGATCTGCCCCAAAAGCTCGGGGAGGATGGAGAGAAGGCTGTGCCTGTCAGAGTTTGGCTGTACCCACTGACCGAGCTAGATTCCAGAGCAGCTAAGATGGTGCGTGAGATCAGCTTAACACTGATCTTTGATGCTCAAACTGTCTTGGAGAATCTGAATGAAATCAACATGCGATGCAATGATCTGGCTATGAATCCTGTTGCTGAAAACTTCCCAGAATTCAAGATGAAAATCAAGAGATTCAAGGATCTGTGCAAGCAGCACAGGCAGACTTTCCAGAAACACCTGGCAGGAATCCTGCCTTTGATCCGGGGAGGGGGAAAAGAGGAAAGTGTTCTGGTGGACATTTTAATGTCCATTAACAAGTCTCCCTTCAACAGCCAAAGACTCAGTGAGTTTTTGGATGCCAAGGAACGAGAGATTAATTTGGTGAATTCTTACCTTAGAATCCTAAGTGGAATGGAAGTAATCTCTTCCCAGAACAAACTGGAAGAAATCGTGCTAAATCCTGCAAATGAGTTTGTTGTCTCATTTACCTTCACTTCTTTACATGATGAGGAAACATTTTTAGCCAGCTTACAAGACTGGCTTCAGAAAGATTTTGTTCAGGAAACAGCAAATTCCACCAGTGGCCAATTGACACCCAAGAACAGTAAAGCCTGGTTTGAGCACCAAGAGAGAAATCGGAATGCTCGTAAAGCTGCCAAATCCATTACACATTTTGCCCAGGTCAATAAATCAAATGAGAAAACCCGGTTCCTTGTGGCTTCCGTCCCAGATCAAAACAACCCAGGTGCTTCCATTTACCTCTATGAAGATGGGGAGATGCTCAGCAGCAACTTTGAGCTGCCCTCAAATCCTCTCCCTCCCCTGGTTGGCCGAATTGGACATGAGAGTGTGTAGCTGACATTTCAACCTGCGGAGTATGGGAGGGCTTCAATCTCCAGCTATCAAGTAGAATACAAGATTGCAGGAGAAGAAAATTGGAAGACTGTGAATACTGACGACAGTCAGGAGACATTCCAAGTGAGCGGGTTGAGGCCAGACTCAGAATACCAGTTTCGATACACCGCTAGGAGCAAACCAGGACTTAGTGAGACCAGCAACGTGAGTAAATCTGTACAGACACGTCCTACCAGCCCTCCTGGGGAACTGAGAGTGATAATCGCAGAGTCTTCCAAAATCAGTATAGCCTGGGAGAGCCCAAAGGTCATTGGCCAGGGAGCTGTTATAAAGGAATACAAAGTGGACTACAGTGAAGAGGCTGGAGAGGCAAAAAGCAAAGACAAAGATGAATGGGCTGAAAAAAGAACAGGGAAGAAAACAGAGTTCTGTGAGATTGATGGTCTGAAGCCCCAGACACCCTACAGATTCAGAGTCTCAGCCATGTGTGCCGATGGGGCTGAGAGTGAGCCCAGCAAAGAGATTGAGGTTTCCACATTGGAAGGAGACAAGAAGAGAGTATCTTGTAAATACCTCCAAGGCAGCACCCGCGTGGAGGATGGGCCACCAGCAGTGTATGCTCTGCCACTGAAGCCCGTACAGGATGCCTCTGGATCCTGTCTAACATACCAGCTAGGGAAAGAGAACATTCATGCCCCCAACAAAGTGATTATGGTGATGGGGGCAACAGGGTCAGGGAAAACCACTCTCATCAATGGAATGATCAATTATGTCCTGGGTGTGCAATGGGGAGATAAATTCCGATTCAAACTTATTCATGAAAATACCAACAGAAGCCAAGCTCAAAGCCAAACATCAGAAGTGACTGCCTACGTTGTCCACCACCACAAGGGTTTCCAAATCCCCTATTCCCTCACCATTATTGACACTCCAGGATTTGGAGACACAAGAGGAATAGAGCATGACAAGTTGATAACAAAGCAGATCCGGGAGTTTTTCTCCTCCCCAGGGGGCACTGATCATATAGATGCCATCTGTATTGTCGTCCAGGCCTCTTCTGCTCGTTTAACTCATGCCCAGAAATACGTCTTTGACTCTGTGCTCTCCATCTTTGGCAAAGATATAAAGGACAACATCCAAGTCCTGATCACATTTGCAGATGGACAGACCCCTCCTGTTCTCGAGGCCATTAAGGAAGCCAATGTACCATGTGCTAAGGATGCCAAGGGCACCCCTGTGCACTTCAAATTCAACAATTCAGCACTGTTTGCCAACAATCCTGTGGAGCCTGGAGGCAACTTCAATTTTGATAAAATGTTTTGGAAAATGGGCACCATGAGCATGAAGACCTTCTTTGATTCATCCCACACGCTAGAAAGCAAGAGCTTAACATTGACAAAGGAAGTGCTCAGGGAGCGAAAAGAGCTTGAAGCTGCTATTGAAGGGTTGCAGCCCCAAATCAAAGCTGGACTGGCCAAGCTGGAAGAACTGAGGAAGACGCAGGAAGCCCTGGACAAGCATAAGGTTGACGTGGCGGAAAACAGAAACTTTACATATGAGGTAGAGGTAACTGTACCAAAGAAGGAGGATATATCTGGCATGGGAGAATACATAACTAATTGCATGAATTGTCACTTCACCTGTCACTATCCTTGTAGAATTCCTAGAGATGAAGATAAGCGTGGTTGTGCCGCTATCAATAAGAGGACAGGAAGATGCAGAGTCTGTCCGCGCCAGTGTGAGTGGAGTGTGCACTACAATCAGAAATACAAATTTGAATATACCACAAAAAAAGAGAGAAGGACCTATGAAGAACTGAAGCAAAAGTATGAACGTGCCTCTGGTGAGCTGATGACCACAGAGAAATTGCTTGAAAAGCTTAATGAGGAATATGAAGAAGTGAAACACATCTTAGAAGAGCTTATCCAGAAATCATCTCAAAGCCTCCAGCGCCTTCAGGCGATTGCACTGAAGCCCAACCCACTCTCTACCCCAGAGTACATTGATCTGCTCATCCTGTCCGAAGAACAGGAGCTGAAGCCTGGATATCAGGAGCGAATCCGGTCCCTGAAGGAAGTGAGGGAAGTAGCTGAGTTAATACAGAAAATTGCCAACAAGGAGCCTCTGCTGCCTGGAGAGCAGAAGCTGTATGGCCAAATTGAAGTAAAAAAGGCCTCTCGAGGAGGCAAAATTAGGAAAATAGGGGAAGCTGTTGCAAACTTTTTTAAATAAGGGGGTCATATATAGCTTTTCAGGTACCCTTTGTTTGCTTTTGGCTATCAGCAGAGAGCTCAGGTTCTGTGAGTGTAATTCAGACCAGAGTCTCTTGCTCTGTGTGCATACTTGGGTGAAGGTGGCTGTGAAAACATTTGCAGCTGTTGTGAGGTGAGCTTATCCACATCTTCATTTGCCCGGCCACTTTTGCTCGGGGAAACCTGATCTTTAGTGCTGAATCAGAACTAACAGCAATCGGGTTTTCCGTGGAATGCCATTTGTTCTGATTTAGCGCTAAAGAGCAGGCTGGGGGAAAGCAGTGGGGCAAAGGCAAAATTGCTTGGAGCTGTGCCTGGAAAGTGTGAGACAAGAGGAAAACTGCTGGGAACCATGCTTCCCAGGCATGGAACAGACAGAAGTGTGAACGAGCCCTTTGTTGCTGCAGACAAAATGCTTCCCAGTCATTGTTCCTACCAGCTTATTGTCTAATTGGTGCTGGGTGAAATGCTGTTCTCTCCAGGGATTTGTATTACCTCCGATGACTGCCAATAATACATAATAAGGAAAGTGAATGGGGCCTGCTTCTAACCACCACAGCATAAAACATGCCCATAAATCTCCCTGCTCTAGTAGTCTTTGGAACATGATTGGAAACTTGAGGTGTTGCAGGAATGCTCTTGACAGGAGCTGCTTATGGCCCCTTTGTCTTAGCAAGCTTTTGACCTGCCTGATTGATCTCTCTCCCATTCTGAGGCATTGCTTATTCTGTATTGTTCCTTATCCATAGAATCTTAGAATTGTAGAGTTGGAAGAGACCCTGAGGGTCATCTAGTCCAACGCCTGCAATGCAGGAACTCAACTAAAGCATCCATGACAGATGGCCACCCAACCTCTGCTTAAAAACCTTCAGTAAACGAGAGTCCACAACCTTCTTTTTTTAAAAAAAATATTTTTTATTAACCGGCCAATCAAATCAAATTAAATCACATCACATAAATTCCGAATTACAAAGCCGAATTTTAAATTTTTTGTTGGGGGGACCCATATTTCAAGATCCGAAGGGGGATTCTGATCATCTTCTTGCTACTGCGTTAATGTCCAAATCAGTCCGAATCAATCCAAACAGAGTTCATAATTCTATCCAGTCTTTTCTTGCTCTTTCCACATCACATCTTGTTCATATATTTTCTCTTTTTCTTTATGATCTCTTCTGATAGTCTCCTTAAGCCGATAAACACCAATAATAATCCTGTGTGAATTTTTCCGTTCTTCCAATCCTCAAATCGAGATGGTTTCCATATATCATCGCCTTCATAGATAACATCGCTCTTTCCATCATTAATCTCGCAAAACTGTCGCTCTTAAGTCCCTCTGAGGAGTTTCACCCACAATATAAAAACAGCTCTATTTCTCTATTTCTCCTCCCAGACTCAAGACCTCCGACAGAACTTCCCAATATGGCGACGGCGTTTTAACTGCGTCATTCCAAAGCTCTTATACATTCCACGCTCTTCTTAAAACATGCTTTGGTTCGAAAGTTTATCTCCACACAGCCTTAAATCCACAGCTTAAGTCCTTAATACGACATTTCTGACTTGTAAGGGGAGGGGATTCTTGTTTAATCACATAAGGAAAGAAAGGAAAGTTTTTCCCCTCCCCTCAGTCATTTGCCATACCGAGTCTTGGCGTATCTTCTCATGATTTATTCTTGTTCCTCCGACTCGTCTTGTTTTATCAGAGATCTCTTCTGTTAGCAGTCTTTACTCCCCCTCCTTCCTTGAAATATGTGCATTCCTTCATCCAAATTGTTTCTTTTGAAGTTCTTGCAGCTAGTGGCGCAGATGAGGGACGGCGTCCAGGAGCGCCGAAATCCCACAGGAGGGGTTTGTGCCTAGTGCCCCCATCCCCACAAATTCGGGGGTGGTATAGGGCACAGCAGGCAAGGGCAGTCCCCCCCACATCCTGGGGGGGGTAGGGAGGCTAATTGCTCCCATCATAGCCTCCAAATTACCTCGTGTGGGTCGGAGAGATGTTATTGTCAGCCATCTTCTGATGCGCCCCCTAGTGGCCCTCAAGAGTCCACAACCTTCAGAGGCAGTCTCTTCCACAGCCAAACTACTCTTACCATCGGAAAGCTCTTCCTAATTTTTAGTCAAATCTCCTTTCTGGTACCTTGAATCCATGTGTCTGGTTCCTACCCTCTGGAGCCTCTGGACCCTCTGGAGTAGAGATATGAAGATGTTTCTCCTGTCTCCTCTTAGTCTCCTCTTCTCCAGGCTAAACATACCCGGCTCCCTCAACCGTTCCTCATAAGTCTTGGTTTCCAGAGTATATTTTCAACTGGCGACTGATTGGAATCTCTGTGTGTGTGATTACTTGTAATATTTTTTCTTTCATTTTCTTATTGTTAGCCATCTAGATATCTTTTTGAAGATCCAGTAGGATATAATTTCCTTTTGAAAACATTTAACCCTGGATATATCTGCATTTTGGGGGAGAATATTCTCTTTGAGCCAGCGGTGCCAAAGAGGCTCCCTGCCAAGGAATTCCTGGAGCTGAATCAGAAATCCAGTCGGAAGGATCCATGCCTAGACGCCATATTCACCAGCAGGCGACTAGGCATGACCAGATCACCTCTGCTGGCTGACAACTAGGTCAGACCAGATCCCGCCTCTTTCCCTGCACTGGGAGACTGCTGAGAAACTTGACTGCCGGAGATGTCTTGTGCACTTTGCATTTTGAACCCTGCACGCTGTAACCACAACTGCCCACTGATTTCTCCCATGTTTGGGGAGTCATGTTTTACTGCTCCTTGCCTGCTTCCTGCAGCTGTGCTGTGAAACAGCCTCTAAATAAAAGCTACTCTGTTCTTTAAGAAGGGTCTCGTCAGTGTCTCCTGAGCAGGGCCTGCGCAAGACATTTTGCTACCTGAGGCGAATTACAAGATGGCATCCGTTCTTCATACAGAAGTCGGACCAGCAGTTGGACCTTAACCCAGCCTGAGTGCTGAGAGAGTGTCTCCACCACACCTGAGGCAGCACGAGATTTTTAGGGCCAGGAGGACATGCTGGGTAGCAGAGCTGGGCACCACATTCAGCTGAAGCCCAAATCCTTTCCCCTGTTTTTTATAATTAAGGTTTTATTCAGACTTTTCATATTACATTTCATTGAAAAGCAAACTGATCTAAAGAAGAAGAGAAAGAAAGGTGCAAAGTCCTCTCTGACAGGTAGATCTTAACTCTTATCCCACACAGAAGGGGGTGGAGCCTCCCAACTCTCACCTGGGAGCTTCTCTTTCTTCTCCCAGCTTCCCACCTTGGAAGATCCTTTCTTCCCTGCCTCTCACACAGGGTCCTTCACCAGCCAGCCATCAGCCCAAATCCTGAGCCAGTTCAGAGGGATCTGGGCTTGGGTCAAGCTGGGTCGAGACAGCCCCAGATCACGTCAGGCCCCTCTCTGCGATCCAGAACTGTCAGGTGGCCAAACTGATGGTAGCACCAGGCAAGCTTCTGTGGAAGAGTCTGCCTATGAACCTGCCTTACTCCAGAGAAGTCCTTGGGGTCATCTTTCCCAGGATTCTGACTGGCAATGGCTGCCTTATGCAGAGGTCTCTCAAGTCCTAGTCCAACACTCTAACCACTGCACCACACGGACTAGGATGGTTGGGAAATGGCTCCCCAGCTGTGACTTAGCCAAATGGCTCAGTTTCAACCATTTGTTCAGATTATTCTAAATCCGATTGCAAATGTATTCTGGTTCATAAATGCAGACATTTTGGGGCTTTTAGGGAAGCTTTTAATGTTTAATAGATTATTGTATTTTAATATTCTGTTGGAAGGCACCCAGTGTGGCTGGGGTAACCCAGCCAGATGGGCGGGGTATAAATAATAAATTATTATTATTATTATTATTATTATTATTATTATTATTATCTGCTAAACTAGAATTGGTAATATGTGAGATTTCCCCCTGTCATTATCAAGTCTGTCTCCTGTGAGTGTACTCCATATTCATTGACTAGATTTAGCTAACACCCCGGGATCTCTATTGACACATTGCCTCTCTTCTGGTATTCCCCCTCACAAGGGAAGCATCACGCAGCAGGGGAGTGTATATATGTGTGTGTGTGTGTGTGTGTGTGTGTGTGAGAGAGAGAGAGAGAGAGAGAGAGAGAGAGAGAGAGACATCCTGGCCCTCCATTCAGGACAGGACCCCAATGGCAGTCTGGGAGACTGGAAGGGAGACTTTTCAAATGAAAACCAGTTTGCAGAAGGTGACAGCTGATCCCCTCTAGGATTGGTGCTGCAATGACATCTGGCAGTGATGGGAGGAACTGCAGTTATTGAATCTGGATCCATGGCAAACTTTGCAATAGTCTTCTAGTGAAATGGAAACAGAGACTGTGTTTTGCAGAAGGTTGGTCCATTTTGGGGGCAGAACAATCTCCAGCGGCAGAAGGGAATTATTGGCAGGGCAAAAGAGATCAAGCTGCTCTCCCTTTGAAAGTCAGCAGGTAACAGGCACACACCAAATGAGTTTCTCCTTACATCTCCCATACCCTCCAACATTTCTATGATGAAAATAGGGACATCCCATGCCATAATGATAATTTTACTGTTTATACCCCACATCTTACTGGGTTGCCCCAGCCACTCTGGGCAGCTTACATCAGATATAAAAACATAATAAAACATTAGACATTAAAAAAAAACACCCTTCCCTATACAGGATTGCCCTCAGACGGCTCGGGGGTCGGATAACTCCATACCCTCCAACATTTCTCCAGTGAAAATGGTGACATCCTACAGAAAAGCGGGACATACTGGGATAAAATCAGAAACTGGGATGGCTTCTCTAAATCAAGGATGTCCCTGGAAAATAAGGACACTTGGAGGCTCTGATTTCCAAGCAAGCAAGTAGTCATAAATTTCATAAATTGCACATCCTGTTCCCATATCGGTCTGCATTACAAGAAAGGAACACGCCCATTATTTTAATGCAAGTCAGCCACAGAAACAGCACATCATTTTACTTAACAATATCTGTTTTAACAAAAGTGGCTGCAGGTTAGCAAAGCCAAAAAGGAGGAAGCTGCGGTCCATTTGAGCAATCAGTCTGTGGTATGTTTTGAAATTACAGTGTATTATTAAATAAGACAGAAAGCAGAAGGGATTGTACACAGAAAGAGAGAGCAAGCTTGTTCTGTGAATGCCAATCCTTATCTAGCTAACAGCAGAAATATTAGCAGATTTGGGTGGGTAGCAGGAACCCCCAGGTTTGAAGAAGCACAACACGTACACATCCCACCACCTTTCAGGAAAAAATATTTCCCAGGGGAGACTAACCAGCCCAAAGCCCAGCGGCCCAGGAATGCTGAGTCGCTGCTGGGGAAGAAATGGAAAAGTGGATGGGAGGCGGAATGGAATGGAGTGTCCTGGGAAAGGATGCCGAGTGGGAAGATCTCAGGTGGGTGTCTAAGAGAGTTCAGCTGAACGGGGACACATGGGGTCTGCAACTCATCTCTATGGAAGTTCAGAAGCTACTGAAAGGTCCAGGAGAACTATGACCACCACATTCCTCCTCCAAGCCTTAGCCAACCAGCAGAGTGATCTTATCTGACCATGCCAAGTTTGGGTCAGAAACCAATTTGAAATGAATCTACCATATTTTTCCGTGTATAAGATGCCCCCATGTATAAGACGACCCCTATTTTTTGAGCCCAGAATTAAGAAATAAATATTTTAAACATTCCGTGTATAAGATGACCCCCAATTTCAAACTTTAAATATTTGGGGGAAAATATAGTCTTATACACGAAAAAATACAGTATATGGTCCAGTGCGCTCTATTTATGTTGAGAACTAACAGCTACAACTCACTCAAAAATCTTAGCCCCAAAACTGTACAGTAACAGTGGCATGGCAGGAGTGATGGGGTGGGGAGCATCAACTGTGCCATTCTGGGGGTGGGTACCATGCTCAAGTTAGGGCAGGGTGATGTGGCACTGGCAAGCCACCGCCTTGCTCCCCACCTTGCCTGGAGGACACCACTTCTGCTCCTACCCCACCTCATGCGCTGCCACTGCTGAAGAAAATGTGTGACTGGAGGACATCTGGAAGCATCCCTTGTGTCCAATGACTTTGTTCAGAATAGTCTCACAACTGCCACATTTAGCGAAACCAGGAAGACTCCTTCTTCTAATGGGGCACCAGGCAGCTCCTTCCTAGGCCCAGGCATTCATCCCTCCACAGATACTCCTGTGATACTCCACATGAACGGACAATCCTAACCGTTGCAAAAGGAGACGCTGCATTTACAGTTGGCAAGAAGGACGACTTCCTCTTTCAGACCCTTGCTCCATGTTAGACCCTCTGAACGCCTTGGGGGCCTTGGGGGAACTACTGTGGCCAAGCAGAGCCCCATCATGACACTTTGGCCTTGTCCAAACTTCTACTTGTCTTGTGCTTTCCAGGCACAGGTCCGAGCGGTTTTGCCCTTGCCCCACTGCTTTCCCCGGGGAAATCCCTTCTCTACCACTGAATCATTAAGAAATGTCAATCGGGTTTCCTGCAGATTGACGTTTGTTCAAATTCAGCAGTAAACAGCAGGTTTTCCCAGATAAAGCAGCAAAGCAAAATGAATAACCGCTCGGTCCTCTGCCTAGAAAGTGTGCTTGAGCCTGTTACCAGGAAATTGGAAGGGGAGCGAGAGACCTACCAAATGTAGCAATTCCCTGATAAATGTCTCTATGTACTGGTTCAATGGGAAAACTTTAGAAATTCATATAAAATCACTCCTGGCTATGGCCTTACTAGTGAAAAGTATATCTCCCCCCCCCAAAGAGGCAAGCAGCTGATTAAAAACACCTGGCACGGGCTGGAAACATACATTGATGGTTTGATGACTCAAACCCCTGCAGCTTCAGTGCTAGTGGCTGGTGATCTTAATGCCAGAATTGGCCAGTCTGACGAAGCACTATATGCACACTTCCACGACTCGCCACCCATCGTGGAAGAAAACCACCTTATACCCACCAGACTCTCAAAAGACAAGGGATGTAATTATGCAGGTCTGTGCCTATTGCGTCTTTCTAACAAGCTGGACCTGGTCATACTAAATGGGCGCAAGAATGGGGAGACTTGCGGGGAATTTACTTTTATATCAAATGCAGGAGCTTCTACTATCGACTATGTTATGGTATCATTTAATCTCCTAAATAGAGCCCTTGAGTGCAAAGTGGAGGAGAGGGTTGATAGTGATCACTTACCGCTCTGCCTCCTCTTGGATGTAAGAAAAGACTTATTCTGCAACGATAAACTTGAAGCCCCCAGGTCCTCCAACATGGAGTTGAGATACTCACGTATTAGATGATCCGAAAAGCTGAATGCCAAAACATCTGAAAGGCTATACTGGACATATTCCTCATGAGAAGAGATAATCTCTTAAACTCACCATGTTCTGAATCTAGAATAATCTTGTTCCAGGATCTGATCTCACTTTTGCAACCCCACCTGATTCAAAAAAGACATCGCGCCAACCTTTATTCCCCAACAAATCCAAACCCTGGTTTGATCAGGAATGTATTGCTACAAAGCGTTCTTTGCTGGATAAGTACAGGAATTACAAATCAGCGAACTTACCCTTGCTTCCCGCGGAATGGTTTGAAGCCAAACGTAAATATAAAGATCTGATTAAAAAGAAAAAGCTTCAGGCCCAAAGGGGGGAGTGGCAACGTTTATTAGAGGCCTCTCGAAGGAAAGACTCAGCCACTTTTTGGAAAATAGTCGCGAAAAGTTGGCAAGACTCCCCGATTGAAATTGATTATACTATACCAGTTGGGATTTGGGAGGCTTACTTTCTATCTCTATATACATCAAATCAACATCTGCAGGCCCTGCCCCCAGCTCCGAGTGATATTGGCGCTGAATGGCCCCCAGTAGCAACTGAAGAGATCTATAGGCTCATCCAATCCCTTAAACATGGAAAAGCACCCGGCGTAGACAACATTACACCGGAACTCCTTAAGGCTAATGTTGAATGGTGGGCCCCTGTGCTAGCTGCCCTATTTACCAGCATAGATCAATTGGCCACTAACCCTGAGGATTGGGGATTAGCAATCATCATTCCTTTATTCAAGAAAGGGAGCCGATCAGATCTGGCTAATTACAGGCCAATCAGCCTCCTAAGTATCATTAGCAAATTGTACGCTGCCCACCTATGCGACAAATTAGTGGACTGGTTGGAACAAGACCACATTCTTTCAGAAGCACAGGCTGGTTTTAGGGCAAATCGGTCAACCTTAGACCAGGGCCTTGTTCTCCAACATCTTGCGGAGAAATATACATCAAGAAAAGGAGGTTCCCTATACGTGGCCTTTATAGATTTCAAATCTGCTTTTGATTTAATACCGAGGGACAGGCTTTGGGGAAAGCTAAGCGCTGCAAATATAAACAAACGCCTACTGTATCTCATCCACAGTCTATATGAAAATACCCGGATCCGGGTAAGGTGTGACCGACAAGGCCACCTATCCAAGGAAATCCAAATCCATCAGGGGGTCAGGCAAGGGTGTGTCCTTGTGCCTACTTTCTTTAACTTCTATATCAACTCGCTAGTAGGAAATATGGAGAAAGAAAATGCCCATCCCCCCAAATTGGCTGGTACGCCCTCCCGGTCCTTTTATATGCGGATGACACAGTTTTAATTTCTTTTTCTTGTGTTGGATTAAGAAAACTTTTGAGATCTTTTACCAAATACTGCAGCATCGAACAACTAACAATTAACTACAACAAATCCAAAGTCATGGTGTTCTCTAAAAAAAGGAGGAGGCACAAATGGAGAATAGATAATCGCTCAATAGAACAGGTAGCAACCTTTAAATACCTGGGTGTAACCTTCCAGGAAAGGGGCTCCTGGCGCTTTCAGATTAATAATACTATTGCAAATGCAGAAAGATCTACCAAAGCGTTAATAAGATTCTTCTACGGGAAAGGGGGCCAACACATACCGGCAGCCTCCCAGGTCTTTGCTGCCAAAATACTATCACAATTGTTATATGGATCCCAGATCTGCAGCTTTAAAAACCTTACTCTCTTAGAGGCATTCCAAACTAAGTTTTTCCGCTGCATGCTGGGGATCCCCTCTTGCGTATCCAACATAGCAGTCCATTTGGAGTTTGGGCAAATTCCTATCAGTACTCGGATATGGATATTGAAGATCCATTATTGGCTAAAGCTTATTTTCTTCCCGGTTGGGCTGGCACCTTTAACCTTATTAGATACCTACCAATCCAAATGGAAAGCTACACTGCTGGAAAAGCTTAAAGGCTTGGGGATCCCACAGCAGACCCTGATAGCGTCAGGCTTCGAGAAGCTAGGACTACAATTCGCCAGCGTATCTGGGACGTAGAATTACAATGCCACATGAGCGAAATGATCAAATATCCAGCAATAAGGGACCATGGGAGAGGTTTCTCTCCAGCTAACTATCTGTCAGGTCTTCAGGTACCCAAATACCTTTTACCCTTGCCAGATTCAACGTTCTCCCTTCTGCCTTACTTCAGGGCAGATTTGAGGGTAAACCATACACAGCACGGGTCTGCCCTTGTGGCTCGTTGGAAGTGGAAACTGCTTCACATGTACTATTACGTTGTCGTCTTTATGAGGATATACGTTTGACTTTTATTACACCTGTTTTGCAAAAGTCCAGGAAAGAATCGGAACACCATAGTTTAAAATTACTGCTAGAGGACAAGAATCCCAAGACTACATTAAATGTAGCCAAATTCTGTGCGTCTGCAATTAATCGCAGGAAGCAAGTGGTATCCCATAATGACCAAACCCCCAAATGTTAATTACAGGGGGCACGCTAATAATTAATTTTAATTTTTTATATTTAAATCCTTGTTATATTCATATTGTCCTCTGTATCTCTGATATATTTTTTATGATCTGTGATATTGTGTGTGTTGACGCTGGTCTGTGACCGTATTAATAAATTCATTCATTCATTTACACCATTCCAATCATGTTCTACTCAGAAGGAAAATGGCTATCAGAGGAGAATCTTGGGACCATGGGTAGGGGCAGCCATAATTCCTGAAACGTGAGACCACTTACCCAGCAGGCCCCACTGCCTGGGTGATAATTTCTGGCATCCTGGTAGTCATTCCAAGAACAATTGCAAACCCAACCTCAATGGATTGGGGTCTCGTTCAAGACAAAGGGTGTGCTGAACTTGGCTGGGAAAACAGGAACATGTAAATACTTTTGTTTCACCAGAAGATTGGCAGGTGAAGGTCAGGTGAGGGACAGGTCAAGCCTGGTGCTCAAGTTTCTGCCAGAAGACCCCTCCCAATTCAGGACATAGTCATGACAAATGTATGATGTTTTATGGGAAACTCTGGGAAATTTATAAAAAAAAGTGGAGCCATCCTTTGTTTGGGGCTTCCCTCTGCTTCTTCCATGTGGTAGTTTGAAGTCTTGTTGCAACAATAAAGATCAGGCCTCCTGTTTTGCTTCAATCTCCTGGCTGGAGTCTCTTGCTTGTGACCCCCAACCTGAACCTATGGGATCCATGGCTAGGCGATTGTGGGGTGCTCCAAGGACTCCTTTATACAGGCCCCAAATTTCACTCAGCCATATTTTTTTTACCACAAGAAGCCACTGGGAGGCCAGACTGGGGGACCTGGTTTTAAATCAATCCCTAACAGAATCCCTTGCAAGGCCTTCTCTTATCACTTCACGAGGCATCATGTCTCAAAGAAAATACATTGCACATTAGAACCGCAATATCCACCTTGTGATGGGCATCGCGCCCAAGGCCAAGTCAGTAGAGTTCAGGGTGAAGTGAATGGTGGGGGGCATCCCTCCCTGAGGGTCCCCTCTGCCCTCCCCACCATTCTTATGGCACTGCTCTGCAGGCCAAATCCTGCCACTGTTCTTCATAAGGCCATGGCCAGGCGGGAGCATCCCCTCAGCCTCCTCTTCTCTCCCTCAGCCTGGGGCCACACGACAGGCAATGCGCCCCCAGGCTCCATTTTGTGAGGCCGGCATGGTGGGGGAAACAGCCTCCCTCCGCTTGCCAGGAAGGGCCACTTTGGGGAGTGGGCTTGGGGGTTCCTGACTCCTCTGTGGAAGCCCCTCTGGAAAAGCCTTCCCCGACAGGGCAGCCATTTTGGTGCAGCATCAATTCAGCCCCACACTTCTGATGCGTGAAATGGCGACCGGAGCCAAGAGGGCGCTGAGGGGGGCAGGAATACATGCCCCAAATAGGCCGAGGTTTCCTCCTCCTGTCCCTTGATGACAGTTGTATTAAGTCCCTTCACCCGGAGCTTTTCAGCTTCATAAAAAGGGTGCTAGTCAGCGATTTGAGAGATTGCACCGAACGCTCAGAAGGGATATTATGAAAAGTGAAAGGCAGCGTATCTCCTTCCTCTTCGCTTTTCCAGGCTCAAAGTCCCAGGAGTTAAGGAGTGGTGCTCTTGAGTTTTGTGCAAAGGCTGCAGGATGGGCAGAAATCGCAGAACATTGTTATTGTTAACCTAGAAGCTTCTCTCCCCCTCAGAAGCAAAAGGAGTGAATTGCCCTAAGCAGTTTGAGGACTGGTTCTGAGGAGAATTTTAGACACTTTCCCCTCAGAAACAGCTAGGATTTCCCCTCTCTTTTTCTTGAGGCCACCAGAACAGCAGGTTCAAAATGTTTCCCTCCAGCATCGGAAGAGCCTTTGGCCAGTCAAAGAAATAAGATTTGTGAGGGGAGTTCATCATGAGGAGTTCAAAAGGTCCCTTTCCCTGGGGCAGGCGTGGGGGATTTTGGGCGCAAAAGATGTTGCCAAACTACAACTCCCACCGGCCCCAGCTAGCCTGGCCAAAGCGCCTGGTGGTGGGAGTTGTAGTTCAGCAGCCTCAGGAGGGGACGGCCCCATCACATTTATACCGGGAGGCAAACTCCTGTCAGCTCTTCCACCCCCTGAAAACACAGAATTTCCTCCTTCATCTGTGAGGGGTTTGGTGGGTTCCCCCAGAGCATGGCCCTGCTGCCCCCACAGTGCATAAAAATGGAAGATAATATTTATTGCGGTTGTTTGTATATTGCCCTTCACCCAAACATCTCAGGGCCCTCCTGCCAGGGTCGACTGCTTTTGCTCCAGAAAGCCTCTTCTCTCCTAATCTCATATAAATTGAGGCTGATTGTGGCTCGATGTCGAGGGAAACCTTCCTCTGCTGCCAAGAGCCCACATATCTGAGGCCAAGATGGAGGCCCTGCTGACAACCTCTTTCCCAAAAGCCCCGGGGGAAGAACAGATCCGGTGATGTCAATCTCTGCTGTATGAAGCCAACTAGCTTCCATGGATCCACTTTGGGTCTGGATACCAGGAAAGTGACGGTTGTGCAACTAAGGACCTTGTTTCTGCATGGATCCGACTTGTGGGGAGGCTGCAGGAGGGGGTTGGACTGGATGGCCCTTGGGGTCCCTTCCAACTCTGCGATGCACTGCTGAAGAGCCTTTTTGGAGTGAAATGCTGACGATCTCACAACTTCCTTCTCCCCCTGAAAGTGATCTTTGTCCCTGTTATGTATTCAGTGCTCTATGTTTGCCTGAGCCCCTGTACTCTGATTTAATACATGATATCCAGTCACAGACTATTTCAGGATTTGGGCCTCTGCCACTGGCCCTTAAACTCTGAGTTTATGATTCGCAGCTTGGAAGTTTTATTATTATTATTATTATTGAAAACTGTTTATTAAACAGTTAACATTAACTTACACAGCAATACGATATTTACATCACACACTACATGATACGGAGGGGGGGCATGTCTTCTTCGCCTCCTTCTTCGCTACAATATATCCATTTATTTCCAATTGTGAATGTCAAAAGGGACTAAAATCTATAAAATTCATAGAAAATCAACATGCCAATTTGCTCAATTTCTCTAGGACTCCATGACACCTCCCCTGTCCTCCATAATCCCTCAAGCAAGGTGTCAAGACCCTAATCCTGTCAAATCGCTCCGCCAAGCCCTTCCTCCGGGCGATGCCAGGTGACAGACTATGCATACATGGACCATTGTCTTCTCAGGATGTGCTTATCTGCGCATATCTCCAGCTCTGCATATTCCCCCCTCCCTCCTCCATATGTTAATCCGGTGTAACCCAACCTCTTCTTAATGTATTCATGATGTAACTGGGATGTATTTTGCACTGTATTCTGGGACATGGAGGGAAGTTTCAAAAGTTCATGTCACCCCTTTCTCGCTGTTCAATCTCGCCTTGAACCTGTTGCGCAATAAACTCGGATCTTCTGCAGTTTGCTCCTGTCTCCGGCTGAGCTCATTTTCTTCCGCAGGGACCCGCGGACCTAGTCCGACGAGCTGGGTAGCAGAGCAGCCCCGCACCCAGTGAAAGGTGGGATAATAGGAAAAAATAAGGAGGGGTGAAGAGAGAGAGAGAGAGGAGAGCAAAAAGGGAGAGAAAAATAAAAGGGGGGGGGGAGTTGAGGGGGAGAGTATCAATAGCAATAGCAGTGATATGGAGGAATTTTTTGTTTTAAAAGAGAGTGGTGGTCGTAGCTGGGGGCGAAAGATTCCCCCCTCAAGAACAAGCCAACAAATAGAAAAGAAAGGGCTTTAAAAAGAGAAAGGAAAAAAAATTGTGTGGTTTTTGTTTTGTTTTTTTAAAAAAATAATATTTCCCCCTAATTGTTGTTATTATTTTTTGTTTGTAAAAAAGTAATTAAAAATGTACGGGTAAAAGATAAAAATGAGAATTAAAGGTAAAAAAAGGGGGGGTTGTCTTTATATATAGATAGATAGATAGATAAAGCTTTTTATTTTTATTTTTTAAAAATGAGTAAAGTACGAAGAGGATAGGTAAAAGAGAGTGGAAAGTCTGGGGCGAAGTGGCAGTCCCAGGAAATGGCCTGTGATGGTTCAGGGCTGTTTTCTGGGTACTGCCATTTTAATTCTTAAGAGGGGAGTTTGAGGTGAAAATAAAGTGAGGTTTAGATTGAGGGTGTGTGTGTGTGGGAAAGTGTGTCTTTAAATAGTGTGTAGAAAAGGTAGAAATAAAAATAAAAATTCAAATAAAGGGTGGCTGCAGCAGCAGTGGCCCCTCTTTTAAAAAGAAAAGTGATAGAAGTAGGTATATGGGGGGGGGAATAAAAAGGAATTTTTTTTAAAAAAAGGGAGAGAGGGAGGAAGGGGTTAAAAAGAAAAGGGATTTAAAAAAAAAGAAGGAAAAAAGAAGGGGGTAGTTTCTTCCTTTCTGCGATCTCCTGGCTTTCCTGTTTTCCTTGCCGCTGGAGCTCGGCAACACGTGTTTTTTCGGAGCCTCTTTTGCCTTCCCGTACCTCTCCTCTTCTTTCCCGTCGGCAGAGATGAGGGCAGCAGCGGTAAAGTTGGGGCTCCTTTTTCTTTCTTTCTTTTTCTTCCTCTCTCGCCCTTTCTTTCTCCCTCTTTGCGTTAGCTCCGCTGTCCTCCTGGTTTTGGAGCTCCTCTCGGCTGTTGGGGGGTAGTCGGATGCCTTTCCGGCTCAATCAAGGTCGTGGGGGGGTGTTTTGGCTCCTTTGATAGAGGCCCCGGGCACCCCCGATTCCTCTCCGCTGGCAGTCCTGGGAGCCCGGGAGTCGGCCAGACAGAGCCTTTTACTCTGGCTGGCTTCAGGAGCTCTTTTCTGCTGTTGCAGCCACCATGCTGCCCTGTCGGAAGTCCCCTCTGCTGTTCACTAGTGCTCCTTCGGTGGTGAGAGAAGTTGGGGTTGGCCTAGGGTGTGGTGGTTTGTTTGTGGTTGGCTGTGGTGGTCTTTGTTTTTATGTGTGAGTGGGGTGGGTGAGTGTTTTGGATCAGGTTAGTCATACTGATTTGTATGCTGTTGGTGGATTCTTGTCATTGTCTTGTTGGGCTGTGTATGTGATAAAGGGGAGATCACACACTACAGTTCTTACAACTTACATCTACTTTATAAAAGAAAAAAGAAAATTTCAAAGGTGGGTTGCAGTGTTTTTATCCTGTTCAAGCTCACTTTAAAGGTGGCCAAGGAGTGTTTGTGAGCAACTTTCCCTTACTTCTCACAATCTTCTCCCTGGTGGCCTGCACTCTGCAGCCTTCCTGGGTGGCCTTGTTTCAAGTAAAGCCCAGGGGAAGGGAAACCCCCCCCATGGGGCTTTTTCTGATCAGAAAGCACAGGGAGCAGGCAGGATGCAAGGCGCTGGGGATCTTATTTATTTATTTTTACTTGGAAGAAAAAAAATCACATGCACCACACACCTACGGAAATTCTAAAGAAATTCTGAAGTGTCAGGAGGATGAGACAGAAAAACCGAAGCCTCTTTCACAGGAGAAAACTGTTGAGAAATGGAAGGATAGAATTAAGCACAGCATAAATTTAGGCTAGTGGGAATAGTGACTGAAATATATTTGGAGTCCAGTGTGGATTTCATGCTCTTTATTCAGCTCATAGTAGTGAGGAATGGACGTTCCCCTGAAATGTCTGCTTTATATACATTATTTACACAATGGGCCCCACGTGATTGGCTAGTTCCGGGATTCACCTGTAGGCCAATCAGGTTGCGGATTCACTTCCAGCTGGAGTTGGATTGGGTGGCTCCTGCGGACCAATCAGACTGCTGCATTCTGGATCCTATTGTTCTAGGACCAATCAGACTGCTGCATTCTGGATCCTATTGTTCTAGGACCAATCAGACTGCTGCATTCTGGATCCTATTGTTCTAGGACCAATCAGACTGCTGCAATTTCGATCCTATTCAACTCAGTACATAATAGCAACACAACCCCGGGGTCATTAATTGTCATTAAACCTTCAAGTAAAAGTTTTGGCACAATTAGGAATGGGCAATTCACTCAATTTCAATTTCTCTTAGGGTTGTCATAATTCAAACAGTGAAAATCTGCTGCCACGAGTCAACAGTGTAATGCAGCAATTAAAAAACAACAACAGCAAAAAGTTATTGCAATCCTAGGCTGCATCCACAGAAGTCTAGTGTCCCGATTTAGGGAAGTCAAGTACCACTCTATTCTGCTCTGGTCAGACCCCACCTGGAGTACTCTGTCAGGTTCAGGGCATCTTTTAAGAACGATGCTAACAGGCCAGAAGTGTGCTGGGGGAGGAAGAGGGTGGCGGGGGGGAGCACACCACCCCTGGCAGCACGATCCCAGTGGGGTTCCATCACGGCTGCCCCCCCCACACACACTGTGCTCCCTGCCCCCACCTGCGCTCCGCCACTGCTGGGGCAGGAGACCAAGATGATGAAGGGTCAGGAAACCAAGCTTTTGGGGGAAGTGGTTGAGGGAGTTGCGTATGGTTAGCCTGGAGAAGAGAAGATTGAGACATGATATGAGCGCCATCTTGAAATACCTGAAGGGCTGACACAGGGAAGATGGAACAGGCTTTTTGCTGCTGGTCCAGGGGGCAGGACCTGAACCAGTGGATTCAAATGTCAAGAAATGACTTTCCAGCTGATGGTAGAAGCTGTTCGACTGTGGAACAGACTCACACAAGGGGTGGTGGAGGTTTTCAAGCAGAGGTTGGATGGCCATCAGGGATTCTTCAGCTGTGATTGCAGCGGGTTGGACTAGATGACCTTTGGGATGTAGAGCCTTCCAACTCTACAATTCTGTGTTCCTCTACAAAAGATTTTCTACAAGTAATTTGACTCCCATTGTGCCATGAACTTCTTGGTGCAGCACAAGGAGTAATATACGAGAGCAGCAACTTCCATTTCCGCTTGTATTCATCACGATCAGCGCTGCTTCCACTGCAGTTTGTTTCTGCCAAATACTACTTTGTGTATCTCGCTGTTAGCTATGGCAGCATCATTCGTGATTTCTGCCATAAATGTTGTCGTTATGTGATTTGGCTGGCTGCATGTATGAGTTCCCCACTTTCATAGCCTCCTTGAATACTGCGCCAGATAGTTGGGATATAAAACTGGTGGTGGTAGTGGTAGAATATTTCTCTACTATCCAAAATGTTCTCAGCAGGCACAATTCTCGGCCAAATGGAAATTCGGTGTAGGAAGCACCCAGTGGTTGTTCCTGGAAAATATTGCTCTTCCCTTTCAGCTCCTGTGACCCCTTGTGCCCCCCCCCAAACCCTTTCCAGAGGGCCTGCATAGCGTAGTGTCTGCCATACAGGGCTGCAGTGGGATTCCCCTGACTTTGGGTCTAGGAATTCTGTCCAAGCAGAGCCCCCATTGGTACATGATCCCTTTTCCCAGTTTCAGGGTGATTTCCCCTCCCACTGCAATTCTGTGTGACACAGTCCCCTTTGTTCAGGGATCACTGGATAGAGTTTTCAGCTGCTACAGGGGACTGTGGATGGGAGGGAAGCAAGAAGAAGATCAGTTGCACAAGCTACCTCCCACATGTGCAACTACTGCATACAAACGTCTAATTCCCGCCCCCCCCCCATGATGTGATATTCCCTCCTCTCCCCCCCCCTTTTTTTTGACTGTATGTTAGCATCACTCTTTGGATGGTAGTGCCAATATTTCTCTTTTCCCCACACGCTTTGCATGCCCAATAATCTTTCCAGAGTCCTTCACATCGCTTCTTTCTTGCAGGAAGGTGAAGGCAGGAGAAGGCAGGAGACCTGAGCCATGGACAGATCAGACAACCCGGTTGAAATACCAGCCCTGGGCCGCCCATTCCAGCTGGGGATGCTGTACGACTGTCGTAAAGATGCCCTCATCCCAGGTAAACCTGGTGCAAGGAAGAGTTTATACAGTGGTACCTCGGGTTAAGAACTTAATTTGTTCTGGAGGTCCATTCTTAACCTGAAACTGTTCTTAACCTGAAGCACCACTTTAGCTAATGGGGTCTCCTGCTGCTGCTGCTCTGCAGCTGTGGAATTTCTGTTCTCATCCTGAAGCAAAGTTCTTAACCCGAGGTACTATTTCTGGGTTAGCGGAGTCTGTAACCTGAAGCGCCTGTAACCTGAAGCTTCTGTAACCCGAGGTACCACTGTACTGATAAGCAAAAATTACTCATATCAAGATTGCAGTTGGCCCAAACAGTGCAGTTTCAGTGCTAAATGTGCTCCTCAAATTCATTTTCAACATCCCTTACTGTCTGCTTCCACATCTTTTGCCAAAGTTTGTGTTCCTTTATGTTCTCTTCATTTGGACAAGACTTCCATTTATTAAAAAGAAGTCTTCTTGCCCGTGATAGCGTCTTTGCTCCTTAACCTTGCTGGCATCGTCTTGGCCCAAATCATCATCATCATCTGCCAATAAAGATTCAGCAGGTGTGTTCTGTTTCAATTTTTTAAAGCTTGCTGAAAACCTTTCTAGTCCACCAGGCCTATGCAGGCCATTACTAATACATCTTTCGACAATTATTTGTTGTTGTTTAGTCGTTTAGTCATGTCGGACTCTTCGTGACCCCATGAACCAGAGCATGCCAGGCCCTCCTGTCTTCCACTGCCTCCTGCAGTTTGGTTCCACTCTCATATCTTGTCAAATATTTTCCCTGCCTTTTGCCAAGTTTCATAAAACTGCACAAACCTCTTTTGTTGGGGATGACAGTGGGACAAAATTCATGAGTGCAGACATTGTGGGCAATGATAGCTCTATTTTAACTCCTTGTTTCTCTGTACACCCTTAGCATTAGGCTAATTGTGTTCTACATTTCTGTGAACATACTCAAGCCTTGCATATTTCTCTGCTTTATCCCAGGAATCACCCTTTGGGACCACGACTCGCTTCAGAAGGACTTGTGTATCCAACCAAAACCAAAGACTGAATATGAAATCATTGCATCTGACTCCATCGATGATAAGGCATCTGCCCTCAATGTCCCTGCATCACTCAAGGCCAGTTTTTTGGGTGGAACAGTTGAAGTGGATGGATCAGGCAAATTCCTTCAAGACACAAAGCAGTCCACGACACAGGCCAGAGTCACTCTGCAGTACAAAGCTACCACCAAGTATTCACAGCTGACCATGAGCCATTTGGGATTCCAAAACGTCACTTATCCAGCTGTTTTTGAGCATGGCACAGCCACCCATGTTGTCACTGCCATCTTGTATGGAGCCCAGGCTTTCTTTGTGTTCGACCGAAATATCTCTTCTTCCGAATCTGTGCAAGATATACAAGGAAGCCTCCATGCTGTGATCAACTTGATTAAAGTCTCTGTCAAAGGGGAAGCATCTGTCCAGATAGAGGAGAAGGAGAAAGCCCAAACGGAGAATTTCAGCTGCAAGTTCTATGGGGATTTTTCTTTGGAAAGTAATCCGGTGACTTTTCAAGATGCCATGAAAGTCTACAGCGATCTGCCCCAAAAGCTCGGGGAGGATGGAGAGAAGGCTGTGCCTGTCAGAGTTTGGCTGTACCCATTGACCAAGCTAGATTTCAGAGCAGCTAAGATGGTGCGTGAGATCAGCTTAGCACTGATCTTTGATACTCAAACTATCTTGGAGAATCTGAATGAAATCAACATGCGATGCAATGATCTGGCTATGAATCCTGTTGCTGAAAACTTCCCAGAATTAAAGAAGAAAATCAAGAGATTCAAGGATCTGTGCAAGCAGCACAGGCAGACTTTCCAGGAACACCTAGCAGGAATCCTTCCTTTGATCCGGGGAGGGGAGAAAGAGGAAAGTGTTCTGGTGGACATTTTAATGTCCATTAACCAGTCTCCCTTCAACAGCCAAAGACTCAGTGAGTTTTTGGATGCCAAGGAACGAGAGATTAATTTGGTGAATTCTTACCTTAGAATCCTACGTGGAATGGAAGTAATCTCTTCCCAGAACAAACTGGAAGAAATCGTGCTAAATCCTGCAAATGAGTTTGTTGTCTCATTTACCTTCACTTCTTTACATGATGAGGAACCATTTTTAGCCAGCTTACAAGACTGGCTTCAGAAAGATTTTGTTCAGGAAACAGCAAATTCCACCAGTGGCCAATTGACACCCAAGAACAGTAAAGCCTGTGTGATGGGATGATGAGCTGCTTGTGCGTAAAATCGTATCCCCTCAGAGTTTGTTCAAGTCCACAAACCTCTGTCTGTGACAGAGCCCCTCAGACATGGCTACTCTAGTCACTAGCAGATTCCGACAGTGGTTGCTTTCGTAATCGCTTCCAACATAAAAGCTCCTTAACGGAAACACGTCTTCTGGAATCTCTGCGTGACAGTTTCCGGCGAGGAGTGGGTTTTCTTACAGGAGGTCCTGAAACCTCTCCACTGTTTTCGCTGGAAGTGTCTCTGAGCCATCCCTCCAGCTCAGCTCCTCTCCCCCTGCTGGTTCCCTCATCAGCTGCTGCGTCTCTCCCAACCTGTGTGAGCCCTTTCACCTCCCTGTTGGTTTCCTCTTCAGCTGCTGCGTCTCTCCCAACCTGTGTGAGCCCTTTCACCTCCCTTCCGTCCGATGGCAGTTCCCTGACATCCACCTCCCCTCCAGGGCCCCCTTCACCTCCTCTCTCCCCCTCCTCTACGGGCGGTGAGGAGGCAAAACCCGGAATGAACTTCCTTCATCTTCCGATGTCTCGAACACTTCTCTCAACCTGTTGCGGTTCCTGGTCTCGAAGTACACCTCCTCCTCAGAGTCCATCTCCCCTTCCCCTTCCGAGTCCGGGAATCCTTCCAACTCCTCCCCTTCATCAGTGGTCCCAAAGTATTCCCTCCGGAACCTCTCCACAGGCTGAGGTTTCCTCGGGAACCTCTGATGGAACGTTTCTATCAATACCTCGTCATTGATATCTTCAGCCATTACCCAAGTGTTTTCTGACTCCGGTTCTCCTTCCCACGCTACCAAATACTCCACCTGATCCCCCTTCCACCTGGCGTCGAGGATTTCTGCCACATGGCTGCTGCATTCTCTTTCTTCTACGACCGGTCCCCGAGTGGCCAGCCCTTCTCGTCCCCCTTCGTACGGTGACAGTAACGACCTGTGAAATACTGGGTGCAGTTTCATGTGGTTGGGTAACCGGAGCCTGAAAGCCACTGGGTTGACCTGTTGAATGACCTCAAAGGGACCCAACCTCCTGGGTCTTAATTTCTTACAACCTCCTTTGAACGGCAACCCTTGGGTTGACAGCCACACCCTATCTCCCACCCTTATGGTTTCACCTTCCCTTCGGTTCTTGTCTGCCTGCCTCTTGTATTCTTCCTTCGCCCTTTCTAAGTTGAGTTGGAGCTGACGATGGATTGCTTCCATTTCTTCCACAAAATGCTCGGCTGCCGGGACGCTCCATCTCTCCCCCTCCCCCTGGGAAAGCCCTGGGATGACACCCATAATTAGCCAAGAAGGGGCTCATCCCTGTGGACACATTCTCGGCATTGTTGTAGGCAAATTCCGCCAGCGCCAACTTTTCTACCCAGTCATTCTCTCTGTCATTGACATAACACCTCAGGTATTGCTGGAGGACACCGTTTGCTCTTTCCGCCTGCCCGTTGGTTTCAGGGTGCCGGGCAGTCGAAAATTGACCTCCACCTGCAGTAAGCTCATGAGCTTCCTCCAGAACCTGGAAGTAAATTGTTTTCCTCGGTCTGAGACCACCCTCAATGGCACCCCGTGCAACCTAAAAATGTTTTCTACAAATAACTTCGCTGTCTCTTCCGCCGTGACTGCATGCGAGCAAGCTACAAAGTGGCACATCTTTGTTAGTAGGTCTACCACCACCATGATGGCTGTTTTTCCTTTGGACTTCGGCAGATCAGTCATAAAATCTATCGACACTGCCTCCCAAGGTCGTTCTGGGGTTGGTAAGGGTTCTAATAGCCCCGCCGGCGCCCGCCTTTCCCCTTTGGCTCGCTGGCATTGCTCGCACCCTCTTACATACTCACGTACATCTTCCCTCACCTTAGGCCACCAAAATTCCCTGGTGACCAACCACATGGTTTTGTGTTGTCCAAAATGCCCCGCCGTAGGGCTGTCGTGCAACTGCTTGAGTACCCTCCCCTTAACTCTCCTTCAGGGATATACAGTGCCCCTTTGTAATACAAAGCTCCATTTCTTTCCTCGAAACCCCTGGTTCCTCTCCATCACCCCTAAGACCTCTGAGCTTATTCTGAGCGTATTCATCATTCTCTGTTTCCTCTACCAGTTCTCTTTGTCCCACCAATGCCGCCCCACACACCCAGCGGTCTTCTGGAATGACATGTCTCTCTTCGGGTGCCCCCTCCTCCTCCAAATATTCAGGTTTGCGTGAGAGAGCGTCCGCCCTAATGTTCTCTGGGCCTGGCACGTAACTAATCTCAAAGTTAAATTTGGAGAACTCCTGGGCCCATCTCACTTGCCGTTGGTTGAGCACTCGTGCCGTCCTCCAATACTCTAGGTTCTTGTGGTCAGTGCACACTTGCACCTTATGTTGTGCGCCAATTAGCAGGTGCCTCCATCTCCGGAACGCCTCATGAATGGCTAGTAGTTCTCGGTCATACACCGTGTAGTTCCTCTCGGATTTGTTCAGCTTTCGCGAAAAAGGCACACGGTCTCCACTCTGACCCCTTCTTGCCTGGCTGCAGAAGCACCGCCCCAATCGCTCTGTCTGATGCGTCAGTTTCCACTCTCATCGGTTTTTGTAAATCCACATGCAGGAGTTGTTGTTCCGAGGCGAAGGCCCTTTTAGTTCCTCAAATGCTCGCTCCGCCTCCTCAGTCCACACGAACTTCTTCTTACTGCTGAGACAGTCCGTAATGGGCGCCGTCAGGTGGGCAAAGTTTCGGATGAACTTACGATAGAAGTTCCCAAATCCTAGGAACCTCTGCACATCCTTCTTTGTTTTGGGTGTTTTCCATTCCAGCACAGCCTGGACCTTGCCGGGATCCATGGCCAATCCCTTGTCTGACAGGCGATACCCCAGGAATTCCACCTCCTTGGTATGAAACTGACACTTCTCCAGTTTCACCCACAGCTGGTTGGCTTGCAGCCTGCTCAACACTTCTCTGACGTCTCTCACATGCTGCTCCTCATTCTCAGAATACACCAACACGTCGTCTAAAAAGGCCACACAATTCTTGTAAAGCAAAGGCCCCAGGACGTGGTTCATAAACGATTGAAATGTTGCGGAGCCTGCTTGTAGGCCGAAGGGCATAACCAAATATTCAAATGCCCCTAAAGGGGTGAACATAGTGGTTTTCCATTCATCCCCCTTCCTTATTCGTACCAGGTTGTACGCCCCCCTTAGGTCCAGCTTTGTAAAAATCTTTCCCTTCCGCACCCTTGTCAAAATGTCGTCAATCCTGGGCATAGGGAAGGCTACTGGTTCTGACACTGCATTTAAGGCCCTGAAGTCACACACCAGCCTCGGCTTGTTCGTGTTTTTCTTATCCACAACACACACTGGGCTGCCCCCCACCGCCCTGGACTCTCTGATGAACCCTCTCTTCAGGTTCTTGTCAATGAACTCTCTTAACTCCTGCATCTCTCTGTCTGACATGGCGTACAGCTTGCCTACAGGGAGCTGTGCTCCAGGGAGTAAGTTGATTTGACAGTCAAAGGGTCTATGCGGGGTAGTTGGTCAGCTTCCCTTTCGCTGAAGACGTCACGGAGATCTGCATATTGTCGTGGTACCTTCACGTTCTCTGTTACTTCAGTCCCTGCTAGGGTGGCTTGGACCCCTCCCAAACCCTTTCCCTCTTTGCAGTGTTCTAAGCAATGTGCTGAACCAAAAGAAACCACTCTCTGATGCCAGCCCACCAGCGGATCATGTAACGCTAGCCAGCTCATCCCCAATATAATGGGAGCTCCTCCCAAGGTGGCCACATTAAAAGCTATCAGTTCGGTGTGCCTTGCTACCTTCATTATCATTGGGACGGTCTGCAAGCTGACTTCTCCACCCAACAGCTCCCTGCCATCGATCGTGGTCACCTGCAGGGGGCTGCTTAAAGGGATTGTCTGTATCTGGTGTTCAGCTGCAAACTCTTTGCTCATGAAATTGCAGGAGCTGCCTGAGTCCAACAGCGCCTTTATCTTTAGAGGGTGTCCGTTTGGCAGCTCTAGCGTCACTTCTATCACTAGGGCGGGTTTAGGGGGTTCTGGCGTGGGCACTCTCACTGCTCTTTGGCCTGGCTGCTGTGCCCTGACAGTGGCAGCCAGGCGTTGGCTTTACTTGCTCCGGTATATTTTCCTCTCTTCCATCCACAGCCCCTACCATCCCTTGCCATTCTTTCCTCTGGGGGCAGACTCTGGCAAAGTGACCTGGCTGTTGGCAGAGATAGCATTTCCGGGCGCCTTTTCCCTCCTTCTTTGCCCCCTCACTGGGCTTTGAAACTGCGCGCGCGCGCTGTTCCGATTTCCATCGGCTCTGCCGGTGGGAAAGTTGGCTCTGGAATGTCTGGAATGCGGAACTCCTTCCAACGTTCCCCTTCCCTTCCCGCCTCTCCAATGCTCTCGCCTCCTGGCGCGCTCCTATGGCCAGCGCTGATTTGGTCAGCTGGTCCATAGACTCCGCCCTGGGCGCCCGGGAAAGTTCGTCTTTCACAGCCGAAGAAAGCCCTTCTTCAAAGAGCATTTGAATGGGTTCCGCCGATAAGTCCCACCCCAATCTGTGAACAAGCATGGTGAACTCAGTCCAGTACTCACGGACAGATCGGCTCCCCTGTTTGCAACCCATTAACTGTCTGCGCACCACTCCCTTTTCAATATCGCTGGAAAACATCAGATCCATGGCGCGAAAGAACTTCATCGTGTCTTTTAAGACGTCACTATTCGCTGCCATCAGGGGTCTAACCCAGTCTCTCGCCCCTTTTCAAGATGCTCAATCACGAAAGCCACTCGTGATTCCTCGTCAGGGAATTCATCAAACTGCAGATTGAGGGCATATTGCATTTCTGTCCGAAAACCATGATAGTTTTTGGGCTCCCCCCCAAACGTCTGCACCAATCCTGGTACCTTTCTGGCGAACTGGGTGGCTGTCGCCCTTTTGTCTGCATCCTGAGCCCTCCTCTCCTCAAGCCTCGCCGTCTGTATCGCTAGCTGGACCTCCAACATCTGGTACCTTTCTTCCAGGCTTGGACCCGCTCCAGCTCCTGCTTCTCCGGTTCCGGCTGGGTTGCTCATGATACCTTCTCCTGCACAAGCTGCTTTCAAAGACTGTCGGAATGCTGTGATGGGATGATGAGCTGCTTGTGCGTAAAATCGTATCCCCTCAGAGTTTGTTCAAGTCCACAAACCTCTGTCTGTGACAGAGCCCCTCAGACATGGCTACTCTAGTCACTAGCAGATTCCGACAGTGGTTGCTTTCGTAATCGCTTCCAACATAAAAGCTCCTTAACGGAAACACGTCTTCTGGAATCTCTGCGTGACAGTTTCCGGCGAGGAGTGGGTTTTCTTACAGGAGGTCCTGAAACCTCTCCACTGTTTTCGCTGGAAGTGTCTCTGAGCCATCCCTCCAGCTCAGCTCCTCTCCCCTGCTGGTTCCCTCATCAGCTGCTGCGTCTCTCCCAACCTGTGTGAGCCCTTTCACCTCCCTGTTGGTTTCCTCTTCAGCTGCTGCGTCTCTCCCAACCTGTGTGAGCCCTTTCACCTCCCTTCCGTCCGATGGCAGTTCCCTGACAGCCTGGTTTGAGCACCAAGAGACAAATCGGAATGCTCGTAAAGCTGCCAAATCCATTACAGATTTTGCCCGGGTCAATAAATCAAATGAGAATACCCGGTTCCTTGTGGCTTCTGTCCCAGATCAGGACAACCCAGGAGCTTCCATTTACCTCTTTGAAGATGGGAAGATGGTCAGCAGCAACTTTGAGCTGCCCTCAAAACCTCTCCCTCCCCTGGTTGGCCGAATTGGACATGACCATGTGCAGCTGACATTTCAACCTGCGGAGTATGGGAGGGCTGCAATCTCTAGCTATCAAGTAGAATACAAGATTGCAGGAGAAGAAAATTGGAAGATTGTGAATACTGACGACAGTCAGGAGACATTCCAAGTGAGAGGGCTGAGCGCAAACACAGAATACCAGTTTCGATACACCGCTAGGAGCAAACCAGGACTTAGTGAGACCAGCAATGTGAGTAAATCTGTACAGACACGTCCTACCAGCCCTCCTGGGGAACTGAGAGAGATATTCGCAGAGTCTTCCAAAATCAGTATAGCCTGGGAGAGCCCAAAGGTCATTGGCCAGGGAGCTGTTATAAAGGAATACAAAGTGGACTACCGTGAAGAGGCTGGAGAGGCAAAAAGCAAGGACAAAGATGAATGGGCTGAAAAAAGAACAGGGAAGAAAACAGAGTTCTGTGAGATGGATGGTCTGAAGCCCCAGACACCCTACAGATTCAGAGTCTCAGCCATGTGTGCCGGTGGGGCTGAGAGTGAGCCCAGCAAAGAGATTGAGGTTTCCACATCATTGGAAGGAGACAAGAAGAGAGCAGCTTGTCAATACCTCCAAGGCAGCACCCGCGTGGAGGATGGGCCACCAGCAGTGTATGCTCTGCCACTGGAGCCCATACAGGATGTCTCTGGATCCTGTCTAACATACCAGCTAGGGAAAGAGAACATTCATGCCCCCCAAAAAGTGATTATGGTGATGGGAGCAACAGGATCAGGGAAAACCACTCTCATCAATGCAATGATCAATTATGTCCTGGACGTGCAATGGGGAGATGAATTCCGATTCAAACTTATTCATGAAAATACCAACAGAACCCAAGCTCAAAGCCAAACATCAGAAGTGACCGCCTATGTTGTCCACCACCACAAGGGTTTCCAAGTCCCCTATTCGCTCACCATTATTGACACTCCAGAATTTGGAGACACAAGAGGAATAGTGCATGAGAAGTTGATAATAAAACAGATCCGGGAGTTTTTCTCCTCCCCAGGGGCCACTGATCGTATAGACGCCATCTGTATTGTCGTCCAGTCCTCTTTACCTTGTTTAACTCATGCCCAGAGATACGTCTTTGACTCTGTGCTCTCCATCTTTGGCAAAGATATAAAGGACAACATCCAAGTCCTGATCACATTTGCAGATGGACAGACCCCTCCTGTTCTCGAGGCCATTAAGGAAGCCAATGTACCATGTGCTAAGGATGCCAAGGGCACCCCTGTGCACTTCAAATTCAACAATTCAGCACTGTTTGCCAACAATCCTGTGGAGCCTGGAGGCAACTTCAATTTTGATGAAATGTTTTGGAAAATGGGCACCATGAGCATGAAGACCTTCTTTGATTCATCCCACACGCTAGAAACCAAGAACGTAACATTGACAAAGGAAGTGCTCAGGGAGCGAAAAGAGCTTGAAGCTGCTATTGAAGGGTTGCAGCCCCAATTCAAAGCTGCACTGGCCAAGCTGGAAGAACTGAGGAAGACGCAGGAAGCCCTGGACAAGCATAAGGTTGACGTGGCGGCAAAGCGAAACTTTACATATGAGGTAGAAGTAACTGTACCAGTGAAGATGGATATATCTGGCACGGGACAATACATAACTAATTGCATGTCTTGTCACGTCACCTGTCACTATCCTTGTTCAAGACCTAGAGATGAAGATAAGCGTGGTTGTGCAGCTATCGATCAGAGCACAGGAAGATGCAGAGTCTGTCCTGGCCAGTGTGTGTGGAATGTGCACTTCAATCAGAAATACAAATTTAAATATACAACAAGAAAAGAGAGAAGGACCTATGAAGAACTGAAGCAAAAGTATGAACGTGCCTCTGGTGAGCTGATGACCACAGAGAAATTGCTTAAAAATCTTAATGAGGACTATGAAAAAGTGAAGGACATCTTAGAAGAGCTTATCCAGAAATCATCTCAAAGCCTCCAGCGCCTTCAGGCGATTGCACTGAAGCCCAACCCACTCTCTACCCCAGAGTACATTGATCTGCTCATCATGTCCGAAGAACAGGAGCTGAAGCCTGGATATCAGGAGCGAATCCGGTCCCTGAAGGAAGTGAGGAAAGCAGCTGAGTTAATACAGAAAATTGCCAAACAAGGAGCCTCTGCTGCCTGGAGAGCAGAAGCTGTATGATCAAATCGAAGAAAAAAAGTTCTCTGTATCAGGCAAACTTAGGAAATGGAGGGAAGTTGTTGTAAACTGGTTTAAACAAGGGGATCATATATAGCTTTTCAGGCACGCTTTGTTTGCTTTTGGCTACCAGCAGAGAGCTCAGGTTCTGTGAGTGTAATTCAGACCAGAGTCTCTTGCTCTTTGTGCGTATTTGGGTGAAGGTGGCTGTGGAAACATTTGTAGCTGTCGTGAGGTGAGCTTATCCACATCTTCGCTTCCCAGCCAGTTTCGCTCAGGGAAACCTTTAGTGCTGAATCAGAACTAACAGCAATCAGGTTTTCCGTGGAATGCCATTTGTTGTGATTTAGCGCTAAAGTGCAGGCTGGGGGAAAGCAGTGGGGCAAAGGCAAAATTGCTTGGAGCTGTGCCTCGAAAGTGTGAGACGAGATGAAAACTGCTCAGAACCATGCTTCCCAGGCACGGAACAGACAGAAGTGTGAACGAGCCCTTTGTTGCTGCAGACAAAATGCTTCCCAGTCATTGTTCCTACCAGCTTATTGTCTAATTGGTGGTGGATGAAATGCTGTTCTCTCCAGGGATTTGTATTATCTCCGATGACTGCCAATAATAATAATAATAATAATAATAATAATAAGGAAAGTGAATGGGGTCTCATATGGAAGTGCTGCTTCTAACCACCACAGCATAAGAATGTGCCCATAAATCTGCCTGCCCTAGCAGCCTTTGGAACGTGATTGGAAACTTGGGGTGTTGCAGGAATGCTCTTGACAGGAGCTGCTTATGGCCCCTTTGTCCTAGCAAGCTTTTGACCTGCCTGATTGATCTCTCTCCCATTCTTCCTTATCCATAGAATCTTAGAATTGTAGAGTTGGAAGAGGCCCTGAGGGTCATCTAGTCCAACGCCTGCAATGCAGGATATCAACTAAAGCATCCATGACAGATGGCCACCCAACCTCTGCTTAAAAGCCTTCAATAAAGGAGAGTCCACAACCTTCAGAGGCAGTTTCTCCCACAGTCAAACTACTCTTACCATCGGAAAGTTCTTCCTAATATTTAGTCAGAGCTCCTTTCTGGTAACTTGAATCCATGGGTCTGGTTCCTACCCTCTGGAGCCCTTCAGATATGAAGATGTTTCTCCTGTCTCCTCTTAGTCTCCTCTTCTCCAGGCTAAACATACCCAGCTCCCTCAACCGTTCCTCATAAGGCTTGGTTTCCAGAGTATATTTTCAACTGGCGACTGATTGGAATCTCTGTGTGTGTGATTACTTGTAATATTTTTCTTTCATTTTCTTATTGTTAGCCATCTAGATGTCTTTTTGAAGATCCAGTAGGATATAATTTCTTTTTGAAAACACCCCTTAGCATTTAACCCTGGATATATCTGTATTTTGGGGGAGCATATTCTATTGCTCTTTGTACCAGCAGTGCCAAAGAGGTTCCCTGCCAAGGAATTCCTGGAGCTGAATCAGAAATCCAGTCTGAAGGATCCATGCCTAGAAGCCATATTCACCAGAAGGCGACTAGGGCATGACCAGATCACCTCTGCTAGCTGACAACAAGATGGGACCAGATCCCACCTCTTTCCCTGCACTGAGAGACTGCTGAGAAACTTGACTGCTGGAGATGTCTTGTGCACTTTGCATTTTGAACCCTGCACGCTGTAACCACAACTGCCCACTGATTTCTCCCATGTTTGGGGAGTCATGTTTTACTGCTCCTTGCCTGCTTCCTGCAGCTGTGCCGTGAAACAGCCTCTAAATAAAAGCTACTCTGTTCTTTAAGAAGGGTCTCATCAGTGTCTCCTGAGCAGGGCCTGCGCAAGACATTTTGCTACCTGAGGCGAATTACAAGATGGCATCCGTTCCTCATACAGAGGTTGGACCAGCAGTTGGACCTTAACCCAGCCTGACTGCTGAGAGAGTGTCTCCACCACACCTGAGGCAGCACGAGATTTTGTAGGGCCAGGAGGACATGCTGGGTAGCAGAGCTGGGCACCACATTCAGTTGAAGCCCAAATCCTTTCCCCTGTTTTTTATAATTAAGGTTTTATTCAGACTTTTCATATTACATTTCATTGAAAAGCAAACTGATCTAAAGAAGAAGAGAAGGAAAGGTGCAAAGTCCTCCCTGACAGGTGGATCTTAACTCTTAACCCGCACAGAAGGGGGTGGAGCCTCCCAGCTCTCACCTGGGAGATTCTCTTTCTTCTCCCAGCTTCCCACCTTGGAAGATCCTTACTTCCCTGCCTCTCACACAGGGTCCTTCACCAACAATCCATCAGCCCAAATCCTGAGCCAGTTCAGAGGGATCTGGGCTGGGGTCAAGTTGGGTCGAGACAGCCCCAGATCAGGTCAGGCCCCTCGCTGCGATCCAGAACTGTCAGGTGGCCAAATTGATAGTAGCACCAGGCAAGCTTCTGTGGAAGAGTCTGCCTATGAACTTGCCTTACTCCAGAGAAGTCCTTGGGCTCATCTTTCCCAGGATTCTGACTGGCAACGGCTGCCCAAGAACTCAGGCAGAGATCTCTCCAAGTCCAACACCCTAACCACTACTCTACATTGACTAGGATGGCTGGGAAACTTAGCCAAATGGTTCAGTTTCAACCATTTATTCAGATTATTAACATTCTATTTTTTTAAATTATTATTATTATTATTATTATTATTATTATTATTATTCAAAGTTATAACAAAACATATTTTCCAATAACATATCCATATCCCCCCCCATTTTTCCTCCCCCCCTCCCCCCCACAGAACCCATCACCCCAACCCCAACCCCCAACTTCCCTCAATTCCAGTCTTTGGTTTCTCCAATAATGCTATTTTCTGTATGTTACACAGTTGTATAGATCCTCAAAGTGTTTAGCTAATTATTATCAGTAAAAAAATTGTGAATGTTTATTCAAAACCTGCCAAGGAGTCCAGTTCACTTTGTTGCGTCTTCAAATATTTTGTGAAAGGTTCCCATTCATCCTTAAAGTCACAGTTATCCTTATTTCGTAGTTTATATGTCAATTTTGCCAGTTCTGCATAGTCCATCAATTTTTCTTGCCATGATTCTTTAGTTGGGGTTTCTTCAGTCTTCCATCCTTGTGCTACCAGAACTCTTGCGGCCGTTGTCGCATACATGAAGATGTTTTTCAACTTTTTTGGCAGGTCTTTCCCTACAATCCCCAACAAAAATGCCTCGGGTTTTTTAACAAATGTTAAATGGAACATTTTCTTCAATTCATTGTATATCATTTCCCAAATTTTTAAAATTACTTTACAATCCCACCACATATGATAAAATGTTCCCTCCTTTTCCTTACACTTCCAACATATATTTGAACTAGTTTTGTACATTTTCCCTAACTGCACTGGTGTTATGTACCAGATTATTAACATTCTAAATCAGATTGCAAATGTATTCTGGCAGACATTTCGGGGCTTTCAAATATTCTGCTAAACTAAAATTGGTAATATGTAAGATTTCCCCCTCTCATGATCAAGTCTGTCTCCTGTGGGTGTACTCCAGATTCATTGACTAGATTTAGCTAACACCCCGGGATCTCCATTGACAATCACACCTGCAAAAATGCAATCTCCCCATTGTCTATATGCATGCCCCGAAATGGAAGGGGAGGAATTTGCTGTGTGCCTGTTTCCCCCCACACACTGCCTCTCTTCTGCTATTCGCCCTCACAAGGGAAGCATCACGCAGCAGGGGAGTTTGTGTGTGTGTGTGTGTGTGTGTGAGAGAGAGAGAGAGAGAGAGAGAGAGAGAGAGAGAGATCCTGGCCCTCCATTCAGGACAGGACCCCAATGGCAATCTGGGAGACTGGAAAGGGGACTTTTCAAATGAAAACCAGTTTGCAGAAGGTGACAGCTGATCCCCTCTAGGATTGGTGCTGCAGTGACATCTGGCAGTGATGGGAGGAACTGCAGTTATTGAATCTGGATCCATGGCAAACTTTGCAATAGTCTTCTAGTGAAATGGAAACAGAGACTGTGTTTTGCAGAAGGTTGGTCCATTTTGGGGGCAGAACAAACTCCAGCTGCAGAAGGGAATTATTGGCAGAGCAAAAGAGATCAAGCTGCTCTCCCTTTGAAAGTCAGCAGGTAACATCCACACGCCAAATGAGTTTCTCCTGACATTTCTCCTGACATTTCCCATACCCTCCAACATTTCTCTGATGAAAATAGGGACGTCCCATTCCATAATGATAATTTTACTGTTTATACCCCACATCTTACTGGGTTGCCCCAGCCACTCTGGGCAGCTTACGTCAAATATAAAAACATATTAAAACATTAAACATTAAAAAAACCCTTCCCTATACAGGATTGCCCTCAGACGGCTCGGGGTCGAATTACTCCATACCCTCCAAGATTTCTCCAGTGAAAATAGGGACATCCTACGGAAAAGCAGGACATTTTGGGATCAAATCAGAAACTGGGATGGCTTCTGTAAATCAGGAATGTCTCTGGAAAATAAGGACACTTGGAGGGTGTCCTTATTTTCCAAGCAAGCAAGTCATAAATTTCATAAATTGCACATCCTGTTCCCATATCGGCCTGCAGTACAAGAAAGGAACACGCCCATTATTTTAATGCATGTCAGTCACAGAAACAGCACATCATTTTACTTAACAATATCTATTTTAACAAAAGTGGCTGCAGGTTAGCAAAGCCAAAAAGGAGGAAGCTGTGGTCCATTTGAGCAATCAATCTGTGGTATGTTTTGAAATTACAGTGTATTATTAAATAAGACAGAAAGCAGAAGGGATTGTACACAGAAAGAGAGAGCAAGCTTGTTCTGTGAATGCCAATCCTTATCTAGCTAACAGCAGAAATATTAGCAGATTTGGGTGGGTAGCAGGAACCCCCAGGTTTGAAGAAGCACAACACGCACACATCCCGCCACCTTTCAGGAAAAAATATTTCCCGGGGGAGACTAACCAGCCCAAAGCCCAGCGGCCCAGGAAGGCTGAGTCGCTGCTGGGGAAGAAATGGAAA